ATAGTTATAAATAAATAAATAAATAAATTATGTGTGCTAATTGCTTTTTTCTCATATTGTACAAAGATTGAACATTAATCATAGTTTCCAAAATATAAGAAAAAATGACTTCATTTACATTAAAATCTATTCGACACATACTAAAATAAAGAACTTTATGTACATAAATCATCATTTTAATATAGAAGCACAGAAGCTGCCGGGATCTAGGACGTATCTAGCATGGAAAACACTGCAGTGGTTGCGCCACATGATACTTCTGCACACCACATGATTTTGGCTGCATTTGTTTTCAACAAATGGTCAAACTAAACTGCTGATGACTGCAGGGGTGGTGTATAAAAACACTACCCTCAAGTTGGACACATTCTACTTCCCCATGGAGCTCACAGCAATGGCTGATCTCGCAGCATTTACCTTTTTTGTTGCAGGCAACATTAAAGTGCTTGAAATAAATACTGGAAATAAATCTATATTATATGGTGGCCGTATGTAAACAAGTGAGCTGCCAGAAGAAGGAAATCCCTTTTGGCAGAGATAAGCACTCTTAAAAATAATGGTTCTTCAAGTTTCAAGTTTATTTGTCATTTGCACAACATGTCAGGACATTTATGCCTTGAAATGCTTGTGGTGAGGCTCAGGTAATCACTCTACAGAAAGTAAATAAGTAAAAGTAAAATATAAAAAACAAACTGAAATATATCAAATATACACAAAATATGCACAAAATATAGAGACAATATACACAAAGTATAGACACAATGTACATTTTAAAGTGACTTAGTGTTATTGTTCTTTAAAGTGACTTAGTGTTAAAGTGTTATTGTCCATAGCAGAGATATGATATAATAATAATGCTAACAATGTGACTGAGTGAAAAGGTAGTTGGGGAAGGACCCACAGCTTCACAGCTTGTTCAGAAGCCTGACAGCCTGTGGGTAGAAACTGTTCATTAACCGGGTAGTTCTAGCCTGTATGCTACGAAATCTCCTGCCTGATGGCAGGATGGTGAAAAGGCTGTGCGCTGGGTGGCTGCTGTCTGACAGGATCTTTTTGATTTTCCTGAGGCAGCAGGACTGGTAGATGTCCTGTAAGGCTGGTAGGTTGTTGCCTATGATGGCTTCTGCCGTCCTCACCACTCCTTTAAGGGCCTTGCGGTCGTAGGCGGTGCAGCTGCTGTACCAGACAGTGATGCAGCCTGTGAGGATGCTCTCTATGGTGCATCTGTAGAAGTTGGTGAGGATCTGAGGAGGCAGACCAAACTTCCTGAGCCTACACAGGAAGAAGAGATGCATATCTCACGATAGTGTTGGTGTGGAGGGACCAGGTGAGGTCATCAGTGAGGTGTACGCCAAGAAGCTTCACACTGCTGATTCTCTCCACTTCAGCTCCATTGATGAATAGGGGAGAGTGACCACCCCTTTGCAGCGTCCTGTAGTCCACAATCATCTCCTTTGTTTTGCTGATGTTGAGACAGAGATTGCTGTCATGGCACCACTCTGATAGAGCACTGACCTTGTCTCTGTAGGCTGTTTCATCTCCGTCAGTGGTGAGGCCTAGGATGGTAGTGTCATCAGCAAACTTGAAGATGATATTAGATGTATGTCTGGCTACACAGTCATGTGTATACAGGGAGTACAGGAAGGGGCTGAGCACACATCCCTGGTGAGCCCCTGTGCTCAGAGTCAGTGTGGAGGAGAAGCTGTTCCAAACTTTCACCACCTGGGGTCTGCTCGTCAAGAAGTCCAGTATCCATTTGCAGAGATGAGAGTTCAAACCCAAGTCTGGGAGCTTGGAAATGAGTTTGGCAGGGATGATTGTGTTGAATGCTGAGCTGTAATCTATGAACAGCATTCTTACATATATGTTGTTTCTTTCTGTCCAGGTGAGTGAGAGCAGTGTGTATTGTTAGTGCAATGTCATCGTCTGTGGATCTGTTGGAGCGGTATGCAAATTGGTGAGGGTCCATGGTGGCTGGAAGTGTTGAGCAAATGTGAGTTTTGACCAGCCGCACGAAGCACTTCATAACTGTAGATGTCAGTGCAACAGCGCAGTAGTCATTCAGGCAGGTGACAGACAATTTCTTGGGGACTGGAACAATTGTGGTTTCTTTAAAGCTCTTGGGAATCACTGACAGTCTTAAGGAGAGGTTAAAGATGTCAGCGAAAACCTCAGCCAGCTGGTTGGCACATGCTTTAAGTACACGGCTGTGGACGCCATCAGGACCGGGTGCCTTGTGTGGGTTAACTGCCCTGAAGGATCTCACTACCTCAGACAGGGGAATGGCTAGAGTGCAGCTCTCCTCATCTACTGGGAGTTTCTCAGCAAGTGAGGTGTTAGTTGTCTCAAAACAAGCATAATGAGCATTAAGTTCGTCTGTAAGTGAGGAGGAAGAGCCCTATCACAGATCACACCTTCTTTGTAGTCATTGATGGTTTGCAGGCCACTCCACATACGTCTGGGATCAGAGCCAAGATAGTTGGATTCCACTCTGTCCCTGTAGCTCCTTTTGGCCAGCCTGATGGTCCTCCAAAGGTCATATCTGGCCTTCTTGTAGCTAGCTGGGTCACCAGAGCTCTTAGTTTGGCTCGAACCCCAGCATTGATCCAGGGTTTCTGGTTGACATTGATTTTTGGTACAATGTCTCCAGTGCATTTATTGATGTAGCTTGTGATGGGATCAGTGTATTCATTGATGTCTGTGCCAGCTGCATCACGGAACATCTCCCAGTCTGTGGATTCAAAGCAGTCCTGAAGTGTGAAGATGGCCTCCTGACTCCGTTGATAGACTGATCTGAGCACTGGTTTCGTCTGTTTAAGTCTTTGTTTGTTTGCGGGCAGGAGAAAAACAGAGGTGTGATCCTGGAGCGTCTGCCCCTCTTGCGCTTCCCCCTGCTCCGCCGGCGTGCGCGTGTTGGTAAACAAAGAGGCAGAGAAGCCGCGAAGGGGCAGCCGCTCGCGTCCAAGCGTGTGTTTGTGTTAAAGTCCGTCTTGAGCTATGATCGGATGTTCAAAAGACTTTGTCAATCATATTGAATGATCCCAAAAGTGGTATGTGCAAAAAAAGGGTCCTTCTATTGTTACAGGCTTGACATCGTAATAGTAGAAGAACGCTTTTTGGTGCTATACAGAACCCTTTTTTTTTAAAAATTATATTCATATAAAACACACTCTTCATCAATCTGAAGAGCACTTTCTCCATGCACACCAGAACCTTTTAAGCCTTTGTGTGATGTTCATGTTTTTGTTACTCGGTGGGTCTGGATACATATACATACATACATACATCATCTAAACCGCTTATCCTTCTGGGTCGCGGTGGGTCTGGATACAGCCATAACAATTTATGTTAAAATACCAGATGTTTAAAATATCACAAGTGGCCAGTGTAGGGTTCTCCTTTAGCAGCTGTAGCCAGTCAGCAGCCTGTCCATGTTGTCCACCCTTGCACACATATACAAACACATACACACTAACAGCAGGCCATGTAGGAGGAGAAAAGAGTGAAGGGACACAGCACCTCCACACTTTTATTCCCTGTGGGTTCACCCCAACACCACATGTGTAATATAAGTGTGTAAGGGGTGAACAGTGTGGAATCACTGAAAATGTGTTAATTTATATATTCTTCCTAGAAAATGAGCAAAGGCCAAGGAATCTGGGGTTGAAACAATAGTAAATCGCATCATTTTTTCTTTTGGTAAATATTGAAAACGGGTCCCACAGACCCGAACACCACACAAGGGTTAATCATGCAAAGGGTTCTTTGAGTGTTCATGGTTCTATACAGAACCATTCTCTTTACTAAAGAACCCCTGAAGAACCATTTTTAATTCTGTTCTTACAATAAATATGTAACATATGTAACACACGTCATGTTTGTTGGAGATTGGAGATTCCAGCCAACGAGGTTGATGTTCTCACGTCATAAAGGCATGCTGTACCTCATATTGCGAATGAAGAACAACTGCAGCCACTTTGCTCCTGTGAGATTTTAATGTCATGTGACATGGTAACGTTCTGCAGCGCCAGAGTAAACCGGACAAAATTTCTAACCAGCTTGCATCATGTTAAGTCAGTGCTCCGCAGGCCCACATTAAGTTAAACCATCTTCAAGTTCAGTCAAAATTTACAGGCACAAAATTGGCCACCTAAACAAAATAAACAAGCTTCCCGCAAAAGGTAACTATGAACTTTATAATCAAAAAATATATTTGTAGAGTAACTTCATATATATGGATACTATGTGAGACTATGCATGTGCAACAAAGGTATGTCATTTCCAATATCACTTTACTGCACATGTGCAGTCCAAATTGTGTTGGTTGACGTACACTTTCGCACATGTGTAGTCCAAATCGGGTAGTGACAAGAGTTACAAACCTGCTTTCTGCTTCCATAGGTCCTTGACAAACTAGTGTAAGATGCAACGTCCTGCCTTTGACTGGTTTCAGTATAAATGTCCCAAAGTGATCGTTTCTTAATGGTCACACCACATGACATTTCATAATATGGACATCATCAGACAAAGTTTGTTAGTATATTTATGATGAATATAACATTACAGATGCTTTGCATTTTGTACAGGACTGCAAAACACTTTGCAAATCATGCTAAATAGGGCTTAAAATAAAGATGAAAAGATTCAGAGTAATTTCAAAGACATTTTCAAAACAGCAGTCATGACAAATGATATTTTGACACCTCAAATAACAGAAAAATTACAGTAAACTAATGGTTTTTGAAACGTTAAAGTGAGTACATTTATGGGAGAGGTACTATACATATATATGATATCTTTTTATGCATTTAAACCTTTTCTTAACTGAAAAAAATGCAGTCGCACAGAAGATTGAGGCATCGTGTCATTGACCTGAGTACAACTGTAGTCCTCATGCAAAAGTACTGAATCGTAATTTCATTATTTTGCTGTAAATATGAAGGCAAGAGATATTAGATGACCTTTAAATATGTTAATCTTGTTCCTGTGGGTAAGAGGGTTCAGAGTTACTTTGGTGGCATTTTCTTACAGTAAGCAGCATGTCAGCGTGAATACGAAACAGAGATAAACTCAGTGTGGTAAATAAACTGCGCATGTGTGTATGAGACAGAGAAGGAGAGAAAGAAATGTATGTTCAATCTAATGTAGCTTCACCTATAAACTAGTCCTGTTGGTTGTAAGCGCACTCATATGCAGGGGGGAAGGGTGGTCTTTTCTCTCTCTGTGATCCTAATTCTGAGAACTACAAAGAGCCCCTGACACATACCTTTTACAAGAGCTGTTACGTGACTCTCAGCTGACCTCAAAGCACTTCATGATCTGAATGAGTCCTCCGTGAAACGTTAAGCGTTTTCATACTCATAATGAGATTGCTATCATATGCAGAGACTTTTATGGTATATGAGTGAGAGAGAGAGAGACAGAAGGAGAGAGGAAGAGAGAGATAGAGAGAGACAGAGAGGCACAGACAGAGAGAGCAAATATTGCAAAAGAGGTGATTGTTTTGGAATAAAACTTCAAAAAGACATGTAGATGTTAACGGAAAGAGTGAAGGAGGGCAGAAGGTAAAAGACAGAGTAATTTGCTTGGGTGGTCTCATTCTGGTATTTGAATGAGTCATCTTGACATTTTCTAACGTTAGTTTCTTAGACCTTCACAGTCAGAGTCTTCAAGGGGTCCGACTCAGTCACATCTATCACATCTCCCGCTCCTTCTCTGTCTCACGGTAAGGCTCTGGGAGTGCATTGTTGAATTATGTGTTGTAATTTTGCCGTCATTTCTGTCATTTGCTCTGATGCTGTACCGGCTGTGTGTTAAAGTAAGCGAAAAGTATTTCAGGTTGAATGATCAAATATTCACTGAGTTCTGTACGGTCTGATTGATGTGGATGTGGAAGCTGCTCTCTGCATGACTCTTCTGGGTCAGCGTTCAATCACATGGTACACTGAAGAAAAAAAAATGTGCACTGAATTTACTTGATTCGAATGAGTGCATCATTCCCTCATGGATAAATATATTACATCACACAATTACTGACAAAAGCAAGCAAACTGAAAGACGGAACTGTGCTGTAATAAAGGCTGTTTCATTAATATGGAAATGATGTACACATTTGAGCCAAGTACATTTACTGCAGCATTTTTTTTTTCAGTCCCACAAGAATGATTTTATTCTAGAGTTTCTTGAATATGTTGTCTGATGTAAATGAATAGGTTTGGAAAAAAAGGTCTCAAAAGCCCACGTGAATTCATTAATGTAGCAACATCTTGTGCTCCAGGATCTTTGAGCTTGTGTGACAGTCTTTGAACGCTGGCTGCTAGTTCAGGTCCAGAAAGTAAAAATCCTCCCCAGGATTTTGTTCCAACTGCCTAGCTTCTTTAGTTAGCTCAAACCAGCAGCAGAGATGTCTACGCAGTTAGAACAAAATTCTAGGGAGGATTCTCATCTTCTCGACCTGAATTACCCACTTTAGTTTTAAACCAGTTAAGCATTTTGAGCCAACAGCAAATATTGCTAACATTTCTTTTTAAAACTGAGCACAAGTTGAGAGGTTTGGGGCCATTCAGAGGTCATTTCTTTAATTGTCTTATTTTCTTCAGTATATGATTATAGCCAAAGCATGCCATCACCACTCATCATCTCATTGCCAAAGGACCGGCTCAAATATGCAACTCAGCATTTTCATCGTATGTCCATGCATTCACACCTGTAACTCTCCCCCAACCAGATGCTGATTCAGTGGTGCTGTCTCCTACTCTTAACACCCTTCCTCTCTCTTGCCAAACCGCTGTTCTGTGATGGTGACACAGAATATGAATGGCCTAGGACTGATCCCACAATGTGCTGCAAGAAATGCCCACCAGGTGAGTTCTCACAGAGAACTTTGCTTAACCTTTGCTTAACCGCACAAAACTTTGCTTAACCTTTATTCTGCTTGTTTGAGATATAACTAATGATATTAATGAAATACTGATACAATTATATATCATGAAAAAGAGATTTCTAAATGTTACAGTTCAAATCTTTTGGGCAAGACTACTGAGAGCATGGTGACCTTTTCAGTGATGTCTGATTTCAGAAAAATTCATGTTAATACAAGGGGAAAGTACTTGTGCAATATTTCATGACCAGATTGTCAGAAATGACACATCAGGTTTCTAACTAGGGAGCAGGCAGATTTGGGGTTACACTTTGAAAATACAAATCATTGGAATTCTTTATAAAAATTAAAAATAAAAGACAGCAATCCCACAACAGATGCTTGAGACAATAAAGAAATGACAATATATTAGTATTATTATTTTTTTTATCATTATTATTGATCCAAGGTTCTCAATCATGGTCCTGCTCTACAGTCACTTAAAATCAGGAAGGTCTTATTAGCTGATGAGTTGAACAGGAAAAGGCCAAAATGCGCAGGTTACTTCAGGATCATGACTGAAAAATGAAAGAGAATTTCAAGAGAAACATGAAAACAAGAGGAAGAACACGTTTCTGCATAGACCAGAAGAAGATGTAAACAAAAGTAAAAAGGAGGAAGTGTGAAGTGTGACACAGGCCTGCTGTATTCCCCATGTGGCTGTATTATTCACTCATACAAGGCTCTAGTGTGCAAAGAATACAGCCACACTTTCCACTGAATATGAGACAGAAGTTAATATGAACTTTCAAAGGTGACAGACTGTGATTAAGACAGGCTTATATTAACATAACTAAGTGATTAAATTCAATGATGCCTTTATAGGACATTTCTAATGTTAAAATCTTTAGCAGCATCATTTTAATTAGTTTACTGTGATATATTTCCCTGGTATGCATACTAAATACTTAATACAGAACCAGAAACTTGTAGCATGCAAAAAAGATGTGGCTTGTTCTTGTTCTGTTATTTGTTTTGTCTGTGCGACAAAATGTGAGAAACAAATCTGTATGTGACAGAATTACTGATATTAACTGGAGTTTAAGGGAAAACTGTAACCTATTAGACTAGATATCCCAGCATTACAGGGCTGTATACTTCCAAAATTGTGAAAAAAATTACAATGATCTCTAAAACAGGTAATCAAGTAATAGAACAAAATTTAAATGTAACCTTCTGAATCCTGTGTATAGGAATGACACATGGCATTCTTGAAAATGATGACTTGCTCTCCTAACAGTAAAGACTTACTGATACCATGCTTACTGACAACTGCTGACACATACCCTTATTGACACATCATAACTAATATAACACAGCTGCAGAATCAGAACGTGAGGCCCTTCGACCACACGCAACCATAAGTGTTACCATCACTCAGAACACTCTGACATTACCTGTATGTGTGTGTTTGTATGCGTGTGCGTAGGAGAGTATCTCACGTCGAGATGTACGCAAGAACGGGAGACACAATGTGAACCATGTGGAGATGACTACTACACGGACACATACAATTTCCAATTGACATGCTTCTTGTGCACAGACTGCACCAAAGAAAGTAAGTTTTAAACTTACGTTTCACAACCTGTGTAGTTCAGAGCACATACATACTCACACACATTACATGTGTTCAGGATCAGCAACAGAATTACAGTCTGAAATGTATTTGCCCATCATTTCTCTGAACTGGTAAATGAATCAACTTCATCATATGAAAAGTCTGAAATGCTAAATGGCAATCATGAAATGACACTAACCAAAGAAGGGGACCCCCCCTTAACTTCGACTTCGGTGGGTTTCCAGCAGTTGGGGGGAAGGGAGGGTCTCGGGCTCAAACTGAAAACACTGAGTCACACATACATAAGTGTAGTCTTAAAGCCAGATCAGCTCTATAAAGAGTTTCACTCAGAAAGCAAAACATAACCGCATTCTATAAATGAACAGTACTGTGGAGAACTCAGAGAACACTCTTCATTTATTTAATTTCCTGCCAGAATGGCCAAGTTTTTCATTTTGGGAGATATTTCTGAGGAGATTACATATAAGATAATCCACTTGCATAAGGAAGGGCAAAGTCAAAGAAAAATAAAAAGGAGTCTCCAAAACTAGAGGACCAAGCAAGAATAAATGAAAAGTGCTCCATTAACACTTAAGCAACTGCTGTCAACTACTGATGATACTAATAATCAGGGTGGTGTACTATTACCTAAACAATAGCTACTGAGACTTACATGTCTCCTGGAGACCACATTAGTAACTATGGCTTACTTATAAGAACTACTAATTAATTACTAATCACATTAACATTAATTGCTCAATAGCTGAGTCTAGCATGGCTTCTGGTGCACTACTAAGATGCATTACTATGTAATGTGTTCTTAAAAGTTCTTCTAAAGTGCTTCTAAAAGAATTTCAATACACTACACCGTGTACAGTGTCAAAAATTTACAGAAACAGGTATCCTCAGAGGAGGTGGGAAGCACCACACTACATTGTACTAAGTGGCGTCACCTCATATGTTCATTTTGATCAGCAACCCTAAAAGGCCAAAGCATATTTTCATATTTGTCAATATGGACCACTTTGCACATCAGCCTACAAATGAGTGAGTGGCGCTCGAAGCGCGATTTGTATTTATGACAGTGGTGTAAAGATGAAATACACATTACGACTTTAGGGGGAGCACAGGAGAAAAAAATACCAATTTCTCGCATAAAAATAAAGGTGCCAAAAGGGGTTCTTTGACATGGTGTCATAGAAAAACCACTTTTGGTTCTTTAAGGCAGTTGTTCTCATGTTGGTTCTCAGTGACCCCCAGACACATTGCAAGTTAGGTTGGAGGAAGTATCTGGACTATTTGGGGGGTCTCCCAGGACTGGTTTGCGATCAAATGCCTTAAATAACCCTTGAAATGATGGTTATTTAAAGAACCAATTTTTGTAAACGAGATGTCTATTAAGAACCATTTTAAAGCTCAAAGGACATTACATAATGTAAACGTCCTTTAACGCCCTTATTACTCAGTGAACACATGGAAATCAATGCAAAAAGTTATCCTTATGTTTTAGGACTGAGTAATGAAAACCTGAACTAATGGCATTTAATGGATTGAAGAGTTTTCCTAGAACTATCTGACCAAGCCAAGAACTATTTAGGAACCTTTATTTTTAAGAGTGCAGTGGATCTGCAAAGAAAATATATAGTTTGGCAATAAATTCAGCATGATGAGCATGCAATTTTTCAACAATCGACATAGATTTTTAACAATTAACCTAAAATGGAGTCCAAACGTCTGAGGCCACATTGAAAATCTGGGATTTAAACCTGGAAATGAATGACAGAAACATTTAGAAATTTGGAAAAAATGTAACAAAGAAGAAATATTCAAGATTCTGCCCTATTCATAAGCCACTGTCCAAAAGTAAGCATATTTGTGACAGTGACCATGTTAAAGCCTTTGTAAAAAGGTCAGATTTTTTATTGTTTATCTCTTTAGGAAGTTTAGGAGGTTGTTCCTGTTCCTAGCATTTTTATAGTGTATTTGTCGATATGGGCTTTCAAAAAAGGATCAAACTGGCTAATTAACTGAGGAAATGCCCAAGTAATTTCCTTTGTCAGGCTGCCCAAACATCTACATGTGACCTCTCAGCAGTGGCCCATGTTCTACCAGAAACTTTATTACTGCAACAACCCTCTACACACTTAAGTCCAATACTCACACTCATCCTCAAATTGTTTTTAGACCTAGGTGTCAGTCATTCCATGATCAGCACTCTAGTTGATGCAGGCAAGCACAGCTTCCCTATACATTTCGGAGCACTCATGCTCAAATATGCGTAAATTTGCATGCTTCCAATCATTGTAACCTTGACAAAATGGGTCTGAACGTTCATTCGTTTCCCCATATATCTTACAGACAAAAAAAAACACTCCCTTGAGAGGGAAGGTAACACAAAGACTGTTTGGATTGATAGTCGCCTCTGTTGCTTTTGTTGGTGCTCTGAGGCAGATAAGAAAAGTCAACTTCTTTATTTGTACAAGATTCAACATTTTTCTTGGCCCAAGAAGCATGCATGCTGTGGTTAATCTTACATGGCCATCATCGACCTGGCTCTGTGCTGTGAGGATCGTTAGCACTGAGGTCTGTAGTGCAGTTGGGCTGCTCAGTGGTTTGGGGCTCCAGGGCACTACTGTCCTCTGCTGCCAGAGCGCCTGAGGGGTTGGTAGAAGTATCGATGCAGTAGTAGTACTACAGGGAAGTATTAGTAGTCCTTACAGGGAAGTCTTTTCACTCGACAGCCATCTTTGCAATGCTGCTGGGCAGTTGTCTTAAGCCATACAAGAACAGGAGACATATTACAGAAACTTCTTAAGTCTGAAATCTTATCTGTTTAGTCACCATGACAACTTCAGTTAGGGTTGAATTTAGAACAGAGGCTATTACAGAACAACAGTTCCTAAGTTCAAAATCTTGTCCTAACTCCAGATAAGAAAAACTGTATTACAGAAACTCCTAACTAGACAAAAATTCTAAATTCTGTCCTAACTTTAAGACAACTCCAGAGGTGTCTTAAGTTCTGTTTTAACCATCTGTTTCTGTCATTTTACACAGAGACAGGTAGCACAGTTCACTATAACTAGCATAATGACGTTACATTTATCTACATTGAAAACAGTGCTTTATGAGTTTTTTTCTAACAGCATTATAAAAGCAAGACACTACAGACACAATCTTCACCATCCCCTCTTATTACCTTTGTGTGTTAATGTCGATGAAAACTCATCAGATAAAATATTACAGTGATGGTGGTGAATATTGAGGAGATAGTATTAGGAGGAATAACGTTAGCGTGGTCAGCTAAAGTGTTCAGGAGTCTGAAACCGGAGAGCAGCGATGTCTGATAGACAGCACAAATCGCTGTCTCAGTATTCTTAAGTTTGTTGTATTTTAGTTCTGTTTGACCTTTTTTACATTAGTAACAGTAGGTTAGCTAGCTGTCTGGCTAAATTAATAATAAATCCCTAAATTAAGATAAGATTTGCTTCTGTAATATGAATTTGTGAAAAATATTATCTTGACCTATAAGATGTTAACTTAAGACAAAAAGATAGGACATTTCTGTATGGCCCCAGGCTCCAATCTCTCTGAATGGGGAGAGACCAAAATACTCGAAATTGAAGGTTAAATTACCGTTTAAAACATACCTGAAATTACCTGTAAAATCCAATAAAAAAAAAATGTTTGTGTTTGGCTCCATGGTTGTTCTGGCTACTGCAATTGCTCTGATCTCCACAAAGAGGGCTTGCAGCATAAACAGCAAGCTGATTGGCTATTTTATTGAAGGACGGGACTTTCTACATAAACAGATGCCACATTGAGTGTTATGAGCTTTCCCATTCATTTATTAATTTCTCCTCACTTATAACATCTCTGGTACTAAATGCCTTGTCTCTCTCATCTTCTAGCTCTTTTGGCTCTTCTATGCTAACAGTAAGCTAGCCACCGTTCCCTGCTGGGCTAGCAATGCATCTTGAGTAGTGGGGCTAACTGATTGCTTATTTGACCTTGATGACTCAGATTGTGGTGGTGAATGAAAAAATCCTGTTGTTTTCGGAATAGAATTCAGTTGTTTATTCTTTTTTGCCCTCCGCTCTTGTATTTCCTGAGCTTGAACATTTTAGTGATTTAGTTAGCTCAAATGTCACGTCAAATGCATCTGATATAGCCGCCTATCAGAATCAGAGCAGATCATTTGAGCAAATCTGGCCAATCAACAGTCAGCAGTTTGAATTGCATATTTAGATGATAAAATCATTGATGACTGTGTGTGGGTGGTTGAAGCTTCGCCACTTAAACAATAATAATAAATAAGAAACAAACTGGCCAATCAGAGGAATTACTCTGGCCCCCTGAACTGAAGCCCATGTAAGCCTTTGCATTAAATCGCCCATGGTGATATATGTTCTTATTGTTCCAGATATGAAGTACAACCAGACCTGCACTCCGACGAGAAATGCAGTATGTGACTGTAAAAGTGGATATATATGCAATAGTGAACAGTGCGGCATGTGTGTGGAAGACCCAGCAGCAAGAACACAAACAACAACAATAACAACAACAACTATAAAACCACCACTACCAACTAAAACAGGAAAAATAAGACCTATGACCACTGATACCAAAACTAAGGTTACTTCAGCACCCTACAAAGGTGAGCATCTCAGAACAAACACATGTACACACGTGCATTCTTACTCACCATGACACCCACACACACAAACACAGGCCATTAAATGTATGTTACATGTATTTGCTGTTTAGTTTCCCACATTTATGTCAATTTGAAGCTTTAAATACACTCTGTCTTCAAACACACTGACACACACAGACACAGAACTAGAAGTATGCGATATTGACTTACTCTTTCTTTCTTTGTCTCCCTTTTCTCCCACTCACTCTCAATCAATCTCTCACAGAAAATGTGTGGATCTCTCTGAGTCTGTCTTGTGCGTGTGTGTGCATTCTGCTTACCTGTTTCATTCTCATCAGCAGACACACACCTGCAGGTGGATGGGCGATGTCTTCATCACCTGGTCAGTAATGCTCACCTTTGATTAAAATTCAATTATGTGTATATGCACATCTCTCTCTCTCTCTCTCTCTCTCTCTCTCTCTCTCTCTGTCTCTGTCTCTGTCTCTCTCTCTGTGTGTGTATATATATATATATATATATATATATACATTCAAAAAAATGTTTATATCCAGGTTCAAATGAAAAAAAAAAATTATCAATGTTTCAATGTGGTCTCAGACTTTTGGACCCGGAGTCAGATAATGTTTCATGATTGAACCCAACTGCTTGATTGCTCCACAGTTTGCTGTTTTTGGAACGTCAGCAAGAGCCCAGTGGAATTCAGCCAGTGCACGGAGGAGGAGGAGGTGCCAATGCCGGTCCAGGAGGTGTGCGGAGGAAAGACGGAGTGGCAGGAGGAAGTCTGAGAGAGATGGATTGGTGAGGATAGAGGGAGGAGAGGGAGGCAGGAGATTCCACATGAGAGTGTGGGTGGAGTATGAAATGTAACATGCACTCATGAACAGAGTGAGAGACATACACACAGTCTCTCTATTGTGATCTTCAGAGGGAAGGGACAAGCAGAAAGGCTGTGATCCGTTCTTCATTCAGGGAGTTTGACTGCACACACATACAGGTACACACATGCGTGTGTATGAGTAAGACGTTTGAATAAGATTTTATAAGAGTAATGAATAGATGCTTTTTGTTGTTGTTTATTTTCTGGGAGCTCAAAGTCTGTATTTGAAAAGCTTCATTCTAAAATGCTGTAATGTGTTTTTGAGAAATTTAACGAGTGACGTATAATAGAAAACACATTTTTATTTCTCGAATAAAGGCGGTATTAGTCGTAATATAGCACTGATATTCTTATATGTGGAAAAAAAGGCCACTCTCAACAGCATATATCATGAAAAAAATCCTGAAAGTGGTCCATAATGTTTTTAACAGAATTCTTCATTTTGAGAATTCTTAAGTTTTGATATTCTTCGTTCTGGAGCTTATATGTTTTTTTTTAATTCTTTTTAAATTGGTTGTTGGGACCTGTATTGTTTGTTGACCCACATAATGGGAAGTCAAATGTAAGAGACAGGTTTTGTTCTCCTTTTTTTCATTTTTACACATAAAAGAAATATCAGTGCTTTATTATTATTAACACCACGTTTATTAGAGATATAAAATTGTTTTACGTTATACCACAACTGTTAATTTTTTCAAAACCTTGAAACCTAAATTCAAAATATAAATGCATATACACCATTTTGAAATGAAACTCTTAAGTCTTAATTGTCAAATTTGACACCTTGTGGTCATCTTTAAAATTTAATAATTTTTATTTTATTAAATTCTAGTTGGGAAATTTTATGAAATTAGATGGGAAGTAATGATGACTACTGCTAGAGAGAAAACTGGGTAAAAAACAAAGCTGCGTTCACACACAGTCCTTTGGCAAGCATTCACTCTTAAAAAAGCTCTGCAGTTTTGCTGTTCTGGCTGATCAGAGCCTTCAAAATTCAGAAATGTTTAACCTGTTTAAAACATTCAGTGGTGTCAAATGTTTTTTTAGCAGCCGACCACTCAGAAGGAGAATATGGGTGGGGGGTTTCCCAGGACAACAACAACAAAAATAAAGATGGAGTGAAACGACCCAAACCAGATTGCAGAGTTGGAAGATTAGTTTTGTTAGAGATGATTTCATGCTATGCATGAAAATATATGGATAAAATGATGCTATGCATGAAATCTATATGAAATGTAATTCTTTTTACAGTATGTACAATATCCATTGTGCAATGCAGGTTCAAAGTGATGTGAGGATATTGAAAGGTTTTGAACTGTTGGTAGTTGATGGTCACTGATCCCCAGCCCAGTGTTTGTGCCTATTTCTTAATTTCTGATTAGCTCCAAACTCCCTACATAGTACATACAGAGGTTCTGAAGTAATGGCTTATAGTCAGCCTGTGCTCAGGGTGGTGCCATCATCATCTAAACAGTCTGCTCTGTGTCATTTTTAAAAGTTTAGTGTATGTTTGCTGCATTTTTAGTCATGCTTCTTGATTCCAACAGCTACTAGTGTTTCTGTATTTCTCTAGTCTCGTAGTTACAGCTATTCTAGTACAGGCTTTAGCCTGTCTGTTTGTCAGTTTTATGATTAATGAGTTTCCTGTTTTAATCCTGCCTAAACCCCAGTTTCAGATACTGTCAGAAGGTTTTTGAAATGCCCAATGAAAAGAAAACTGTAATTACATTCAACTGCTTCAGGCTCCCCAGTGTGACATGCTGTTATATGCTGAGAATGATTTCTTCATAAATAATCGAAACTTTCATATATAATTTCATATCTAAATCCTAGTTCTACTGTTTTTGTATTCTGAACACCTGTATTAATTTCGCTTGTGTAACATTACAAACATTTTATTTGCATTGCTTCTTATAAAACCACATAAAACATGAATGAAATAAAGCATGTCATTATTTCTATTGCACATTAATATTAATAATACATACAAATGTGTTGGAGCATATGGGCCAGAGAAACTATTTCAGAATAGCTTGTGTTTTCAGAGAAATAACAAGAGGATGAAAGATGACAAAATTAAACATAAAACATAAAATTAAATAATAATTGGACACTGCAATGTTGTCACTGTCAGATCAAAATCATGTGCTCCATTTTTTACAACTTAAAAAAAAAAAAAAGACTAGCTGCCCTTTACATTGTGTAAACATTCTGATAAATACACCAACAGAAATGGTCCAAAATGACCTGTAATAAAATCTAGTTACATTAACTTACACTATAATATAAGAATATATATAAAATATAAAATATGTGTTTTTCATTCTCCCGTTAAAGTCACTATTTTTGGAGATATGAGGTTTTGTTCTGACGGTGACGATGTAATACTGTACTGAAAATAGAACTGAAAACAAAAATTACTTATAAAACACTCTAATAAGAGTTACATAGACCACATTTAGGTGCTCTCTTCACTAATAACTGCGCAGTGCAAGGCGTCAAATAAATACTTCTACTACATGTGCAGGAAGCAGCACCTCAATTCTGTAATCTCACATGAGTCTGAATAAGGCTTGAATAGGCTTGGGGATGCAGAAGGCACAGGTATGAGACTGAGCAACAAAGCAACCTCTAGAGACCTGGATACACTGGGCTGCTTTTTCTTAGATTAAAGGATTTCACTTGATTGCTTCTGAGGAAGATCTCCCTGGTTTAAGTTCTGACATTTTAACTGTAAGCTAGCTTTATGAATGTAAAAAGGCTTGCAAAGCACAGGAATTCCAGGTTTGTGTTTCTGTAATCACACAGATCTTGTCAGTTTCTGCTGTTAACTATTTCAGAAAATACTTACTCAACCATTGTAGTACAAAAGATGAGCTTTAAGGGGCTAAAAATTCAGATAACCCACAATATTAATTTTACACTGTGAAAAATTAAGGAAGACAAATATTTTTTAGTAAAACAGTCTTTTACAGTCTTGTATAATTGTCAGCTGTAAATGTCAGTTCTCAGTTCATCTCAAACAGCAAAAATTGACAAAAAAAAAAAAAATCAACACACGCTATCCTAATAATCTACAGCAGTGGTCACCAACCCTCCTCCTGGAGATCTGTTTTCCTTTTGAGCTTAGTTACAGCCTGAATATAAAATATTGTCCCCTCCCCCATTTTATCTAATGCTAATGTGTCCAATGCAGCCAATCAAGGACATCTGCAGAAGTGAATTAGCTGGAGCAGGTGTGGTAGACTGGGACAAAATTCTGCAGGAAGGACCTCTGATGTAAAGGGTGCTGTTTTCATGAAAAAGTTTTGGATTAAGCTCTTATGGAGTGCTACACTCACAGCTCAATATCAAAACTAATAACAGGTAGTCTTATGCCAGCTCTAAGGTATGGCAAACTTTATCTGGGTTATTGTTAATACACATTTTCATATGAAGTCTAATGTAAATATTAACGAGCAAACTGGACAGGACAGCAGACAGGACCTTGTTCACAACTGTGTTCTGACAGGCTGCAGCATTAGCTTTAGCATTAGCCCTTTTAGCTTTTTTTACCCCAAACCTCCTGTTGATCAGACGTGCAAACCTGCAGATTTACTTGGCTTAATTAATGCAAGGATGGTTTCCAGAACCTTTTTTATATTTTTTTAAAGTGTCCTACATTCATATGGTCAACCCTCAAGCATGTATCCAGTGAACACCCTATAAAGCCGTTTTCTGAATGATAAAATGTTTTCAGATGTATTCCTATGGGTGCTTCTACATTTTCCTTTGTGCTACCGAGCTTTTTAGTCTGTCTGAACTGACAGTTCAGTTTAATGGATGCAGCAACAGTAACTGAGGGGTGTGGAACTTTTACAAATGGTCAATTAGTTGTTGCCAGCTTGGCACACTCTAACAATTAGTATGAATTATGAAGGGCATAAACCTATTTACAAAAGGGAGATTTTCCTCATAATCAAACAGTTTGTCCACTGCCATTTCAATAAGCTGCTTATAATCGGAATTTTATTGAGAAACCAATAAATCAGATTTTATCTGCCAATTATTATATCATTCTGGATCTAAAATGCTAATTAACATGCTTTTTTTTTTGACACCCACTTAAAACGCTGTACATTCTAAAATGTTTTTGTGAGACATCCAAAAACCAACCAATGCCACCCATATGCCCTGTATCCAGGCCTTCTGGAGATTCATCATTGTATCTTCATCTACGATTGTGAACAGCATGACTGAAACAAACGCCAAGGCCCCATCTACATCTTCACACATACACACATGTGGAAGCATGCTTACACACTCATACACACATTCATAAATGTGTGCATATCTGTTTCATGCTGCCTTTTGACGGGATCCAGGCCGACAGGTTCAGATCGGCTGACGTTAGTGACGTTATGAGTGTAAACCAATCTTTGGACAGGCCTCTCTGCTTTAAGCAGAAGCACACAGCCAAAGTTGTGGTGTAGAGTCCTCATAAATCACAATAGCATAGCATAGCAAACGGAAAGGACTGAAACTTCCATTACAATCCCTCTTCTTTGGACATGTGGCATTCTTTCCCTTGCTCTTGAGAGGGAAAAGAGATGTAACTGCTGTCTCTGTTCCTTTCCTCTGTGGACAGAGGGAGTGGAGAAGTAGGACAGTGCAGCTCACTCTCGTTTAAACTCCGCTGGTGGACATCCTCATCATCCTTCTCTCCTGCGTTCTGTCCAAACTGGTTCAGCAAACTAACAAACACTGTGTTTGCACCATATATGTGGAGAGGACCTGGGAGAGATAGATTATGAACAGGTATAATGTCTCGTAATTATCTTTTTTTTTTCTTATGGCAATAATAATACCTAAAATTAACAGATAGAATATATGAGCATGATTATAGAATTAAACTGACAGGAATAAAAGATCACACAAATAAACAGAAGCTGAAGTTCAGGAACTATCTGCCTGCCCCATCCTGTCCTAGTCAGCATAGACATAACTGCGTCATTAAAAAAACAGGTTCCATAAAGAACCATGAACACTCAAAGAACCCTTTGCATGATTAAGGGGTTCTTTTTTCATCTTGAAAGGGTTCTTCAGATTGATGGAGAATGTGCTGTAGAGGGTTCTATATTGAACCTTTTTTGAAAAGGGTTCTATATAGCTCCAAAAAAGGGTTCTTCTATCGTTACGTTGTCAAGCTTGCAAAAATAGAAGAACCCTTTTTGGTGCTATGCAGAACCCTTTTCAAAAAGGTTGTATATAGAACCATCTACAGCATATTCTCCCTCAATCTTAAGAACCCTTTCACAATATAAAGAGACCTTTAATCATTCATTTTTACTTAAGAACCCTTAAAGGACCATCTTTTTTAAAAGAGTATGGCAACTAATATAGATATGCAAGCAAATGCAACTACCCAGGAAAAAGGTATGTATTCATACTATTTATATAAAACAAAACTATAAAATGTTTTAATATAGAACAGTGTGTGTGTGTTTAGAGTTAATAAAACTGTATATATATATAAAAGTACTGAAAGTACTGAACCCCCTCCAGTGAGAACACAGAGTGTGTACACTAAGAAGCTTTGTGATTACAGGCCCTGGTCACTCGTCATGTGCAATGTGGACAGATTTAAGAAACAAATGTACATATGTAGCAGTATTTGTATTTGAAGGGTTTCGTTCCAAAACACATTATAGAGCACTTTTAATCATTTTCTTTTTTTCATAATATACATTGTTTTGAGTGAGCTTTACACATAGAAGAAATACCAATATATTATTAACCAAAAATACCACCTTTATTAGAAAAATAAAAATGTGTTTCCATTACGTCAGCAGTTATTCTTTTCAAAAACTCCTGATATCCAAAACTGTTGCAAATGGATCCAACCTTAAGTAAATAGTGGTATTTCAGCTTTAAACAATTTAGCCAACCGGTGAGATGGTACTGCAATTGCTGGCGACGTACCCAGGTTTCCAGCAGCAGGTAGAGGCGGCTCTGTGCTGACTGGTTGAGGAGTCGGGCCGTCTGAGGCGCTGCAGGTGGATGTAGGTGTGTGTGGGTGCACCTCCTCTGCCTGGATGTGTTTGACTGGCTCGCTTCTTTGAGAAGATGTAGTAACAATGTCCCCCTGTAACTATTAAAGGGAGGGTCACACAGAATCACCCTGATGTACTTTGTGGGGAAATATAATAATATAAAACAATAATCATGAATAATACTGACTAATCACTTAGTAAGAAGCATAATATATCTTAGAAGTTAACATAATATAATGTAATATAATTCTTCAGTAAGAAAAATCTGGGGTGACTTTAAACATTAAAGGGTTCATATCCTACATTTTTCTTGAATTTTGTTTTCTGGCCTATAATGTGTCTCATTCTAAAAGCAGTCCATGCTGAAAGACTTTTTATTGCTTCAGCATGAATGGGTGGGGCAAAATTACTCTTGGCCCAGTAAGTGCATATAGGTAAAAGAGTTCATTTTCATGACATCACAAAAACAAATAACTGTTTTTGCATCTTAATTTCCATTTACGGACTGCATGGACTGGGGAGTGAACAGTACGTTTTGAACCTTTAAGACTGTTTACATACTAGATCACACTTTTCATGGTATGGGCTGATATGAGCTGATAAATGGGTTGGATATATGGGAAGCGCTATCTTTTCTGGTTTAAGAAAAGGTCTTTAGCATTAATGCTTGCTTTTTCACAGTGATCATCTCTTTACTAGAGTAATGTTGTTAACTAAAGTTATATTACATCTAAATAATATTCAATCAGACAGCACATTATGGGTTACATGGTCTACATTTCTATAAATTACATTCAAAGTGATGGAATCTTACCTTTTGATTACCATGTGAGCATCGCTTCACCACTGGTGCATGAAGAGAATGAAGAAATAAGTTAAATTCTATAAAAAATGGCAGTAAGTTGGACAACTTTTAAAAAACTAGAAGAAAACAGTTGTATGCTTGTAAGTGTGCATGTGCACTTACATTTCTTCAGGCACTCTTTTTTATATTGCCTGCAAAGATGCAGCATGATGAAGATGATAAGTAGCACACTCAACAGCACAACAATTAAAATCCAAACGTCCAACATACCCGCTGTAAAGAAAGAGGAGAGAGGGAGAGAGGGAGAAAGAGAGAGAGAGAGAGAGATATGTATGACAGATTACAACCGATGATGTTGAAATACTAAATATAGCTAACAATAAACTCTATGTCCAAAAGTATCCAGACACTATTCTAACTAGTGGATTTAGCTACTGTAAGGTATACCCACAATGGAGCTCCATCATCACTATTACCGCTATAGGTGTTCAGTTGCACCCACACGGGTTATATAATCTCCATAGGAAAGCATTGCCATAAGAATGGGACACTCTGAAGCAGCCACACATGAGCCTAAGGTCATCATGCATAAGCTGGAGGACTACAAAGCCCCTCAGCGTTGGGCTGTGAAGCAGTGGAACTGCATCCTTTGCAATTATGGAGCACCACTGAATACCTTTGGAACGAGTTGGAGTGGAGTTTGTGATCCAGAACTAATCATCCAACATCAGTACCTGACCTCACTAATGCTCTTGTGGCTAATTGCAATCAAATCCTCACAGCAAAGTTCCAACATCTAGATTAAAGCCTTCACAGAAGAGTAGAGGCTGTTACTGCAGCAAAGTGGGACAAATACCTTATTAGTACTCTTTCAGATAAGCAGGTATCAACAAAATTTTGGACTTACAGTGTACCTAACCTAACCATTTAACTTAGGTTCATGTCACTGTATAACAGCATTCCTGTGCCCTAAAACCAACTTTTCCAAAATCACAAATGTGAAGCATGTTCTCACCGCCTGGAGTCGGGGTCGGGTTAGGCGTAGGTTTAGAACTAAGCAGAGTAGTCGAAGTTGTAGTGGATTGTGAGGTTGAAGTTTTAGTTGGTTCACACTGGCTGCACTGGCCTGTAAAGGGATCTTCCTCACTGCAGAAAAAGCCGTCCATACAGCGGCACACCACATCAGACACACTGCTGCACGCTTTCACCACCTGCATGTGAAACGCTAAGACACCCACACACAAACAAATATATCAGATCAAATATTGCAACTGCATGGGAGTCTTTACCTGTCTGTAAATTTATCACCTCTACCTGAGGAATAACTTGCCATCTTTTATTGAAAGTTTTTATGCATCATGAGATTTGTACATGCAGTATAAAGAGCATATAAAGTTGTTACCTGCCACACAGTTCTTGAAGCAGGGATGACATGTACGCTCACTGTTCACCTGGCTTGTGTATGAACCTTTAGAACATGCAGAACACTCAGAACAACTTAACAAGTATTGTCCTGGAAGGTTGGGAGGAAGAAGAAAAAAGAAGAAGAAGAAGACAAAAAATGTTACTGGAGGTACAGTAGCATAAAAATAAATCAGACATTTTTTTTTCTTCTGACTCAACAATGAGGTTAAATCAAATTCCAATATACTTACTGAATGTGCACATTCTTGTTTTTTTGAAATTTCAACTAGATTACATTTCTAATTTAAAAGGTTCTTAATATGGTTTATAAATTATATATAAGTCGCTATCCAAAGAAAAACATGTATCTCCAAAATGATCATTTTACAGGAACATTCTTAATTTTTAATGTAAGTTAATGTAAAGAGGGAGGGTTTATTCCAAATTATTTTGGAACATTTCTATTGGTTGGATGGCTGGGTTAGAGCAAAACCTCCCATGAGCATATCGCCCCAAAAATATGACGTAAGTTAGATTTTTATGTTAAAGAGGAAGTCATTCAGACTGGTTTGATGTGATAAGCTCAGTTCACAGTGGGTGTGATAAGAACCAGACATCTGATTTGATTGATGCCTCTTAAAATGACCTCATAGAAAACTATTACACAAATTGGTTCTGAATACCCGGCCTGATTCCTGAGACGTATTTATGGCAGCTTTGAGGTTTTTATACTTCACAGTAGAGCGGTATATTCAGGGTGTTGTAAGGCAAATAGTCCCCAAAGAAAAGGTTGTTTTTTCAGGTTTACAACTGTTTTTGCATTGTCAACATGACATCTAAAAACTTAGAAAACATATGTATGTTTAGTGGTTGTTGTGGATAGTAAATAAAATGAATAAAATGGATATATTTGTGTTGTAGACATTGTAACCCCTGAGTCTGTAATTCTGTCTACAATGAACTATTTTACAGCAAACCACACTAAATGACTTTGTTTACATCTCAGTGATTGAATTATAGGGAAATTTTGGCGGACTTCCCCGTTAGAGACACAAAGTTGATCATTGTAGATTAACTGGCTAGCCAATAGCATTATGTGCTAGTCATATCTATCAAAAGCACTGAAACACAAATACTAGAATTAATCAACACTTTTAGCCACCTTGCTAGAGTTTGAAGTCTTGCTAGAGATGAGTTTGTAGTTAGGTGTAAAACCACACCTAATTCAGTCTGATATGCACTCATCATTTGCATTTTTGAATCAGTGACATTTATGATTAAATACTGAGTGTTACTGCTTATTTTGGTATTCTGTAAATTATGTTAATAATGGGTGTAAAATGTAAAAGATGCATGTAAAAGCATGTTTAAAAATTTAAATTTAGAAATTAAAAAAATTCTCCATCTGAAAGGTCATCTTACAAGAAGTTCTGATACAGGATTGTCAGGTTTAGTACTATAAAAATAATACTGGCTGCTGTTCCAGTTCATTTCTCCCAACTGTGTTGGTTTATGCTTCATCGTCCTGTACATGCTAAACTATGAATACGGTTTGATTTTACTGTAAAGGGGGCATCTAGCTCATCCTCCCCTCTATAGCTGTTAAAGGAAATAGTAAAATCTAAAGGCCAGACAGAAGTGCTATTATGTGTCAGTGCAAGAAGACACTCATCCTGGATACGAAGCATAACCACATATGCACAATATATACAAAGGTGTATGTGTGGTTGAGGGGGTGTTTAAGGTATAAGCGTGTGTGTGTGTGTGTGTCTGTGCAGACTTATGCTGACTTGTGGACTCTCAGAAGCGATGAGAGCAGCAAAACAGGACGTTACATGCAGACTGAGGCACAGCAAGTGTTCTACAGAAGGAAGTGGTTTATGTTTCTGTGTCAAGACGCACCATTTCCCATCAGAGAAACAGAGAGAAAAAGAGAGAGAGAGATAGAGATAGAGAGAGAGAGAAGATTCCTTTGGCACACTTCTCATGAATTCTGCCAAGCAAAACCACAAGCCTTATTACTGTAATCACCAAGCCTGTCCAGAGGGCAAAATGACAGAAACAGGCATATGAATATATGTATATATATATATATATATATATATATATATATATATATGTGTGTGTGTGTGTGTGTGTGTGTGTGTGTGTGTGTGTGTTTTCTTTAGTTCTAAAAGAGTGATAAGTAGATATAGCATTCTCACCTGCTGGACACTCTTTACAGTCTCTGCGCACTCTGACATTTCTGCTTTCAGCTTCCTGTTGAGCACAACCGCATAAGTCATAAGTTAGTTCATGCTTTAAGGGACTAGTTCAGTTAAAAATATAAGCAGCTTTATCCTTGCCTCAAATATAGTTGACATGTTTGATGTCTGAAGTCCCTCAAGTTTGCACTTGAGCAGCAAGGCTAATGTCACTAAAAAGTAAAAATAGTGGCGTAGATTTCTATTGTACTAGTCTCATAACTCTACTCCAAGCTAAATAAGCAAACTTCGGACACCGAACATATCTCAGCTGATCGACAATGTTTGGCGTAAGGGGGAACCCATGTAAATTTCATTTTCTGCTGAACTATTCCTTTAATGACCTATAAGCCTATGTTTCTAATTTGCAAAAGGAGAATGTGTTTTCACAGTGCTGCTTGATTTTTATATGAGACACTAATAAGTCACTAAAAAGTAGCAGAGTTCTTTTGTTCTTCTGAGATCAACATCAAATTACCATAGCTACACTGGCTCAGTACTGGGTTAGGCTTAGTACTGGCTACAAAATCATAAATTGATAACTGCAATAGAATGAGAGTAGACTGTTCCCTTTATTTGAAAAAAAAGTCAAGAAAAATATACAATATAAGATTTTTGAGAAGATGTTACATTTGAACACAGCGTAATAAGCAGCTTCTAATTTTAAACACGGTCCTGCAGTGTAGCAAGTTATTTTAAAAAGCAACTGACATGATAAAGTGAAATGGATTAATATTTTTTTAAGTAATAATGAGAGAGTCACCAGAGGGAGAGCGGAGCTCAGACCACCCGCCAGTATCACCATGACAACAAGTAGCGCTTTCACCATCATCTACAATTATAAAATAGTTATGAACTTAATATGCATTGTGCATCACATGGGAGCAAATCACAATAAAAGCATGCAGCAGATATTAAAAGGCTGTCACTGACAGTTGTCATTTGTCATCTTTCATTCTCAAAAGACTATCAGTTCTGGCAGCAGGACTCCTTTTTAACATTTACAAAAATGCTACTGAATTTTACCCCAGATACTGACTAGATTGTACAAAGTAATCAAGTCACTGAGCATCTGCAAAATGCAAAAATATGAGTAGAAGACATGAAGACATATATGAAGTGCAATTAATGCAGTCTACATTGATTTAATTTAAAGTGCAAGTTATTAGCTACTTATGATACAACTCTACAAATAGATTGCTAAAGCAGAATATAGTAGTAAATAAATGTGTGGCAACACTGTCTACAGACTAAAAGTGGTCCTATAGGTAACATATCTCAATGTATGACTCATACATCTGCAGCTTAGGATGTAAATTGGATCAATTCTGCCATAAGACACCATTCAAAAACATACACCACTGATACAACCCAGTAAGAAGTAAATCAACTAGATATTAAAAAACTTGCAGTACCTTGCGCACAGGACAGTTCAAACCTCCCCCAGCCGCTGTTTTCACTCCTTTGTTCTTCTCCTTTGTAAGCGTCACCCTCTCTCAGCACTCCACTCACCTCTGTGTCATTATTTCCTCACCTGCTTTCTTCCTGTCACTCTCCACCCTTCTCACTGCTTTTTTTTTTTAATCTGACAAGTCTTCAGCTGCTAAATACACAGCAGTGAGAACATACAATTAGACATATACTTTAAATACTTCAATTATGTCATTGAATTTCTAGATCTGCTTTCCTACTTTATATATACAACTGGACATGCTATAATGAAGAGTGTATGGAAGTGTTCTGAATGGATGTTAACATACAGAGTCATTAAAAACACCTGTATATACACAGCCATACGCAAGCAAAACCTCACACACACGCACATACACACACCCTCTGTCTTTCTCTGAACAAAACATCTGTTACGCACACTCTCCAGTCCAGTACTGTATTTCCACTTAGAGAAGAACAACATCAAAAAGGTCTGAGATAGAAAAGGTCACACCGAGCTCATCTAGCACACTTCATTTTCCAAAAGTACTTTAGTGTATGTGAGAGAGACAGAGAGAGAAAGAGAGAGAGAGAAAGAAAGAAAGAAAGAAAGAAAGAAAGAAAGAAAGGAAAAGAGAGTCAGCAAAGAAATGAAAGGCAAAGACAGAAAGAAACGAACTCCGTGACACAAAAACTCCACTCTGCAAAGTGTTTCTTCAGCATTATCTTTTATTTTTCAAGTCTTTTTAAAGATCCAGTCTTTCAGCACTCATTAAAGCAGGCAATGCAATTCTTGTTATGCCTTTAGTATGAGTCCAGCCACCCTGTCAAAAGATTTCTTTAAATCAAGCAAAACATCCCTGTGTGGTTCGATTAGCTTCTCAGTTCTTTGCCTTCTTTTCGGAATTCAGAAATAATTACTATCCAATTAATCCGATTAGCTTTTTATTCATGCCTTACAGTCAAATGGTACAAATCTGGATTCAGATCATTGTAGCCTTTGGAGATCACAGCTAACGGATGCCAACAGCATAAGAGATGGTCTATAAACATATAAGGCGCTTGATTTAAAGAAATTCCTTGAAGTATTTTGATATCCAATGACACAAACGTTTCTGTAACACTTCACTTGAACACTGCTACGTAAACTGACAATCTTGCCATAAATATGTCATGGCAGGTGTCATATGCTGTCTTTTTGTCATGACAGTTTGTGTTCAATAATAAACCAGCGTCATGTAACCAATAGTGGTAATTGTCATGACAGATGTCATTATGTTTGATGTCATGACATCTTATGTCACAAGCTAATTTTTACTTTGACCAGTAATGGTAACATAACACTATTATATTATTGAACAAAATTTCTCATGACAACTTATGACAGCATATGACATCTGGCATTACAATTTTACATAGCAGGGTTCAAGTAAAGTGCTACTAACGTTCATAATGTACATATTGAGGCAGACAGCAATGTTAATATGGCCTGAGCCTTAGCCATAGCATTTGTTTGTGGCCCACATACCACATGGAATGATGGCCCACTAGCAGGCCAGATGCAGCTGCTAGAACTCATATATACATTTTTTGACCCTACTGATGCACTCTGGCTAAACAACAATGCTATACTTTATATACCCAAAGCAGTACCATAAACCATCATAACAGCTACTCAACTAGTAGTTTAACTACTAGATCTAGTTAAATATTTTGGCAATCGCATCTGGCCTGCTTTCGGGCCATCATTCAGGGTATGTGGGCCACATGAACAATAGCACAATAGATCATATTTGTGTTTTGTGCTAACTGGTACAAGAATGTATCTAAATCTGCATGAAAGCATGAGGGAGAACTCTTCTGACAGGGATAGTGAACTTGTTTGCATAGCCAGCGATTATATAGTAAAGATCCTTACTGATTGCCTTTGGGTTACAATATCATAGCAGTCATACCTACTTTTTGGATAAGCATTCTCTTTTCTCCTTGCCTTTTGTTTGTCTTCTTTATAGAAGTTTTTATACAAGAAATTTACTTATTGTTTTAGTGGCTTCAAATTTAAGGTATTCCCAATGCAGTCTGAATTAATATCTGAGAAGGAAAAACTGAGATTTGTAAAGCTGGTTCAAGTGCTGTACAAACAGTATTGCACACTATTGCCACAATTCACACCAGAAAACAGAAGTTTCTGTACAGTATTTTGACTAAAGACATGAGATCATAAAATGGTCATAAAATGATCTAAGTATTATTTTCTATTTATATTTAAATAAACAACAAGTAAATTCCTGGTCAGTATAGCAAATCAGAAAACACATTCAAAACGTGCGTGCACGCACACACACACACGCTCATACTATGTCTCAAATGTGCACTGCTAAAAGCAAATAAAAGAATCAAATCAAAAAGGGGGATTTCAAGCAAAATGAGAGCCCTACTTTTCTTGTCATTTGAGTGATTAAGTAAAAAAAATGTATGTTTTTCTCATTTAAAAGAAACACATCTGGACTAGAAAGAGGGCTGTTTTCTGCTAACCTACACAAATGGAAGATAGTAATAAAGGAAACTGTTACTCAGAGTAGGACGTCTTTACACGACCTGTACAAAACACAAGATAACAAAACTAATTAAGACCAAATTAAGTGACTCTGACTTTGGGGGAGAGTGCTGATTTAAAACTAGAAGAATCAGAATGAAAAACAGAAGCAGATATGAGGATCTGAAACTGGACAAAACATGATCTGAATAGGCTTTAAACAGACTGCACTGTACAATATGTTACATAAAGAGCCATTCTCAATTTTCTTTTCTTATTGCAGGATACTCATGTACATACAGCTTACATACAGTTATAGTAGCATTTGACTCTTTGAATTTCAAAGCAGAGCAAATATTTACAAGCTGGGCATTCAGCACCATGTATGGAAGCATCAGCTCCTGATGCTCTTTGCTGCTCAGAGTCAATTCCCTGAAAGCTTAGTTCACATTTGGCACTGTAGAGGTTTATATTATTCCAGCTACATTAGGAAATATAACAATGTTATTTCTCCTCTTTGATGCCTGCGTGTGCGCATGCATTTTTCTTCCTCAGGTGTACGTTCATCTAGCTACTCTTTGTCACCCTATGGTCAAAGTATTCATGGTTTCACTGCACTTGTGAACACCACTGAAGCCAAGTGTATTTATAGCACCCCTGACATTCGCATGTGAGATGGAAAAAGTGAGCCTTGACCAACCCACTAACCAATTGGTCCATTTCTGCTATTTCTGTATTCTGCTTTATGACGGCTGAAGTTGCCAAACACCAGTCGCCCTTGTGCAAGTGAAATGGCTTCCACTTTGCTAGCCACCAATGGCGTTTGTGTGAACTGCCAGTGGCTTGAAACCATGCCAGTCACTCAATCAGTGAATCTTCCTGTATTTTAGTCAGATCTGCTGCAAAATCTATCACAATCTGTCAAAATTGGTTTAGTCAAACGCCTGACTCTGTGAGACTACCTCCGCATTTACTACTGCGACAGAAAACCGGACGTCTAACCAACGAGTACAAAAACACACACGCAGACATGGTGTAGGAGTTCATTTCCTTTCACACTATATAATACATCATCTCAGGTATCAGGCATCATATATACAGTAGAATAGCTTAAAGTGGCCGTCTTTCAATTTGTGTTATATCTGCTCTGCTGACATTTAGGTGAGGATGTGGCGATAGTTTAAAAGGTTTAGCATTTACACTGTGCTGAGCCCTCTTTTTTTACCAATTCTTATTACAGATCACTGATTCAACATCACTGTAAAAGGGCAGCACAGAACCAAATGGAACAAAGTGGCCTTCCATTTAGTTTTCTGGTTTTCTTGAAAGACATGACCACAGTAGGTGGTGGACTAATGAGGTACAATGCACCTTGCTAATGTTGAAAATGCTTGAATAACCATGCAAAGCATTATGGAAGTAAGAAACAACATCTTGACTTTGCTAATCTGCAACTTTTTCACAAAAACTGTAACAGCAGACAATGCAAACATGTTTTTGTATATTGTCTTCATATATCATTGTCTGCCATTGAGGAAGACAAGAGCAAGTACGTAAAACAGCTTTCCAGTTGCCCTTTAGCAAGAAACGCTGTGATACTGATCACAGAACAGCATAAAAGGCTTAACCAACCCTCTGTTTGACCACAAGTTATGCCCTTCACAGCAAATATTTATATTCATACTATGTAAAAGATTACAGCGAGAACATACAGCACTACTATTAAGGATCCTACACCACCCACAATACATTAAATCATATTGCCTCAGAAACAGAAGAAAAAAAAACATTCTCATGAATGTTTGACACCCAAGGTTTCAGTTTTAAAAAAAATGAAGAAGAGGAACCTTATCATGGAATCACGGAACATGGACTAGCAGTGGTCACATCTTCAAAATGCCACACCACACAAAGACTAGCAGAAAAGACATTCTAATGATATTGATGTGTGCTAGACTCAAACATTCAGTATTTTGAGTGCATTGCCCATTATGTCAAATAACAAAGGTTACCACTCACTTGTAAAGACAGCAAATAGCCATCAGAACACATCCTCTACTCCTTTAATTTGCTTCCCATTCTCTCAAATCTTTTAACAATAGAAATTCCTTTACCTGAAATCAACAATTACTTATTTAAATGTAAAGCAAATGTTAACTGTGTGCAAAAGAATAGTTCTGATGAATGAAAACAGGTATGGAAAAAAATCAGCTCCGTCACTACACCCATACAACATCAATCAATCCCAATTATAACCACTAGGGGGCAGTCACTGTCAGAGTCAGTCATCACAAAGCCTATTCATGTGACTCAAACTCTATTGCCCCCCTGATATTCTGGGAAATATTTAGTGGTCTGAAAGACCCAGACAGTCTGTCCATGCCCCTAACATTGAGGAAAGTATGACTTCAGCAGTGTTGCACCAGCACCTGTGCGCTAAATATGGCTTAGGGTTAACAGAGAGATGAGAAGAGGTTAACAATGTTTTTTTCTTTTCTTCATTATGTTGTTCGTTATTATCTTCCTCCCTCTCCAGTCTTCTCTCTTTCTGAGTCATCGCTCCCTTCCAGTCCTCCGCCAGGGCTAGGAGATTGGGATTTACTGAGGGCAATAACAACATTGAGAGGGGGGAAAAACAATATGTTATACATGTAAAATAGCTGCACTGGAAAAGAAAAGAGATCCCTGACGAGCAGTAAACAAACCCTACATTCATACAGCTATTAGGGCTGACACGATTCATTGTATAAATAACTGAGTAATCTACACATGAGTTTGACAAAGAATCAAGTAATCAGAGTTTTAGAGAAGGCCAAACAATAAAAATGTAAAAGCTCAGCAAAAAACCTTACTCAAAAACAACAAATGCTGCATAGCCTTTTAAAAACTGCAAAATACTTATTTGGATAAACAAAGGAAGCAAGGATGAAAAGCCTTCAATACTGTAAAAATATAAAAGACAATGAGGCAAGACAAATACATTCTGACCATGCATATTGCCTACTAATCAAATTTTAGTTTTTAAATCAAGATATCACGTTTAATCGAGAAACTGAGATGAGCCTAAAAGCCATGCTAAATATTCTTCCCTCTGCAATATGTAGTGACACTCGGTGCCAGTATGTATGTGTGCGTACCTCTCTCCGCTTTGGGTGATGAGTCTTCTGCAGGTCTCCATCTGAACGTCCAGTCCTCTCTTCATACTGCACATCTCCATGTACTCATGCAGGTGCCTGTTCATGTCAGACTTTGCCGTAGCCAACTCCAGCTATACAGACAGAGACAGTGAGAGAGTTCATGTAGCATCCATTACAATCATGTACAATATTACTTGCTGAACACAGCCTGTACTACAGTCCTAGAACAGTTCTTGGGTAAAAAAAGAATATTTAAATTGACCTTAAGAACAGTAAGAGTAATTGCAGCTTTTCCTTCCCTCTCTCTTACCTCAATCTGGTCGATGGTCTCCTGATACTCCTTCTCCCTGGACTTAAACAGGCACTCTGTATCTTTAATCACCTTCTCCAGACACTCCTCCTGCTAAAAGAGAGAGAGAGAGAGAGTGAGGAGAGAGAGTAGAGAGAGAGAAAAGGAGAGAGAGAGGGATGTTAGAGAAACATTATCTCTGTGAGACATACCGAAGGCAGCTGCTGAAGATAAAGCATAACCAGAGGGAATATTCTATTGATGGAAAACTCAGGCACTAAAAATCCTCTCAGCTTTCCCTGAAATAGGTATAACAACATGACTGGCAACACTCCATACTTCCACTCATCCGCTGCATTGATCAGTGTGTGTTGGGGTATTTGTGTGGGTCAGCTGTTCAGCAAAAATGAAATATTGCAAGTATTGAATTTAAACAGAAATGTCCTGTGGCAAACTTGACATCGTCCATCAACCTAAATATGTCCTCTGCATGTGTGTGTGTGTGTGTTTGTAACTCATGACTTTTGCTAAACAGCCTTGTTCTCCTCTCAATGGCCCTTTTCATCAAGCTCAGCAGAATGAGTGCAAACACACTAATATGAGACAAATACACGTTCTAGCACCAAACACAGCATGCCATCGATCTGTGCTGACCCAGACATAGCTGTTCTTATTCTATCTGGGTGGTTTAATTTGTTGATTTTTATGGTCACATACACATTTCTGTATGCTACCAGCAGTCACCAACATTTCATTTTTGTGGCTGTATGGACACAGAGACACTGTCGAATGTACATGAGTAATTTACAAACTTATGTAAAAGACAAAAATGAAGAAGATGGAGAAAGGGAGTAAAGGAACCCTATAAAAGGGGAAAATAAAGGGTTGGATGGATAAAAATGTGTAAAATATTTCCTTACACATATCTGTACAGTTAATTTAGAGTTTTGTTTGTTGTTGCTACATATACTCCTTATATACTTTTAAACAGTGCTTAATCTAGTGCCATCATGTCATCTGTCTCATTAACAGCCACTAAAAACCTCCCTAAAGCAGCCAATATTATTGTCGCACAACTATCCTGAATAAATCCACTATGAAGCAATTTATTAGCTATTTTCACTATTGCTAAAATATATGCGTTTGCAAAATCAGAGCTCCCAATGAATGTGACTTCCATAGCCATCAAGTAAAAGTCAAGACAAAAAACGTCACCTTGAGGAAGACTGAATTTAATCAAGCCCATCTACTCTGATGATGTACACATCAAGCAGCATGATGCCTTTAATATCTTCAGCACCTTTAGGGTCCATAAACTTTTTAAATTGAAATTCCATTACTTTTTCTTGACTTCTCCATGACACAAAAATAATTTCCATGCCCAACATTTAGTACAGTGCTGGGCCATATTTCATCTATACCGGTATACTGTAATACTGCCATATCCTTTCCATTTTTAGTGACATGTTTACTGATATATTTGATAGATTATAAGCATTTTATACATAATAAAAAGTAGAGTCTCTGTTTCAAGCGGTGTATTTTTATTTTGTGCACGTTACTCATAGATGCTAATTGAACGTCTTTTGCTTAAAATTCATAAAAACTCAGGAAACATGGGTTCAAGCATTTCAGTAATGCAAAACTTTGACACAGTGATACTGTGATATATTTGAAAATGTCATGATCCTGAATTTTATTATTACTGCCCAGCACTAATTTAACATTAGACAACACAGCTTTTCTGAGAGAGAAAAAGACCTGAGTGTTTAAAACCTTGAGTGCTTCAAATGTCATGAGATGACAAACCGCAAGGGGGAAAAGTCATAAAAATTCCATGACTTTTCCAGCACGTATTATATTTCATAACTTTTCCAGGCCTGGAAAACCTAATTTCTGCATTCCATAACTTTTCCAGGATTTTCATGACCGTATGAACCCTTTACCTTTGTGACTCCCAGCCATGTTTAATGTTGCTCCAGTTTATTACAGGTGCAAACTAACTTTAAAACAGTAGCCAATCCACCTCTGATTTGGTGGAAGAGAGTCCAAAAAACTGTAGATGTAGTGGGCACAGTTATGTAAATTGTTCAGAATTTCCCTGTATTTTCTAGGGAAATTACTAGAGACTATATTGAGTATATATTCTTTCCAAAAATTTCCAAATGAGTTTGGCATCACATTTGAAAACCGTTTTCCTCCTTTTCTCCCCTTGTGGACTGAGTGCCCACCTACTTGCACATCACATTTCTTACCTCACTGTGATTAGTGTCTGTGGTCAGAGTGCATCCTGGGAAATCCTCCCATAGCAGCAGGGTCTCCTCAGTCTCCTCCCAGGCCAAAGAGTCACAGTCATCCTCAAACTCACACTCACGGCTAAAACATACACAGGAAGGTGCATCAGAGCAATAACAATATCCTAATGGTAAATTAAGTAAATATACTCTGAGTTGCACAGTCCTGTGCAAAAGTCATAGACCACTCATTAATTCATTGTTCATTTTTCAGGAGACAATCCTAAGGAGATCCACTTAGATCCACATTTGCATAAGAAAGGGGAAAGTAAAATGAAAATAAGTGAAAAACAGGAGTTTCCAAACCTGGAGTTCAAAACATAAAAGACATGAAAAGATATTAGAAGACAAAACAAAAAAAGAGACCCTATCCAGACCTGATAGAACACCTATACTGTCACCATCAGATAAACAGTACTTAAAGCTTTCATCGTTGAGAGAGAGAGAAGAAAGAAGTGCTTCAGATCTGAAAAAATCCACAGGTCTTTCTGTCCAACACTATGAGTCTGAAAGGATGTATAGCTATCTAGAAGTCGTTACTGTAAAAAGAAAATAGACAAAAAAATAAGAAACTCAAGCAACTCAAATAAAGAACTGGTTGTGTTCTCAGAACAATGGACTGACCATAGCAGAATCCAGACCTCAACATCACTTAATGTGTTTAAGATTGCTTGGATTGTCAGAAGCAGAAAATGCAACAAACTTCTAGGGCTGAACTTTAAATTTGTGCAAAAAACATCCCTGCAGAATTTGATATTATATTAAGTTGAGTGTAATTTTCTGTTTCTGTTAAACATGTTTCCTGCTTTTTTTCTTGATGCTTAAAACAAGTAACTTGCACATAATGGCTATTTTTGACTGTAAATTAAATAATTGAAAAGCAATCTCTGATTTAGCACAGTAGTGTCCCTTGTACTGTTACTCAGTGTCCATTTTATGAGGTACACCTACCACACAGATGCATTTTGTAACATATACATTTTCTTCGTTAGACACCTTATACCCTGTCCATGAATGGAACGGGACCAACACTGGACCACCACTGACAAGATATTATTTGGGTAGTGGATCATTTTCAGCACAGCAGTGATACCACAATGGTAACGGTATAGTAATGTGTGTTGCCCCTAAGGCTGGGCAATAGGACAATATATTTGTCACGCTATATTATGTTACAATATGTCACAATATGGTCTTCTGAGTATACTGTGGATATAGTCAGTACTTAAAAACGCTTTCCAACTGCATGTTTGATCATAAAGATAGCAGTGTTAGTACTGTAACTGGGATGTGAAATATTGAATATAAATCATTGTATTCAAAGTTTTGGTAGTATTTTTAAACATGGCACTTGTTTGTCTTTTCCAAGTTTAGATATTGAATGATGTTATCTGCAGTTCACCGAAAACTACAATAAAACCTCATGTGTCTTGGAGATGTGGCATAATGCCCTAAAATCTGCTAAAGTTTGACGGTTTGATGGTTACTCTTATTTTTGATGAGTTACAGTGCTCTAAATTTTTCTGGCTCTCTGGACCTCCACTGTGGGCAAGTGTCTTGGCAAGGCTGCTTTGGGTGCACCTAAGTCGGACAAAAATTTGCGAGATTCCAGGCACATCATGCTCTACTGACCTGTGGACTGTCACAGATTTTTTAAGTCAGATTTTTAAAGTTGCTTGTGGTAAAGTGTTCCATTCTCCACACATTTTATCACATAACTGTCGGCTTTTAAAAATCTGAAGTCGTGCAACCCCTAGAAGTACAGCAGCATCAAACCTACAAAGTGCATCTATATTGTAGGTGTACCTGATAATATGTTTATTGGGTGTAGGTACACATAATTGCCTAATAAACTGGCAGCAATCTCAGGGGAAAAAATTGGGTAAAACATTACTGCATTGGCAGATGTTCATTCTAATTCCACTGTTCAACTGCTCATACTCATACTGTAGTACAACTGTAGCTATTATAGAACTGTAGAACAACTGTAATTACTACTATAATGCGACATGATACATGTGTAAATATGTACAGCCCTAATTTCTAGACTCAATATTTAATGAGCTGGGCAACGCACTAAATTAGTATGAAGGTCCACAAAGTGTCTGATTGTCCAACGCTTTCTCCCTGTGAATGCATATTTCTCTTGAACTCATGCCAAATATAAGGTGCTACTTTTTTAGCATCTGATTAATGAAGACATGGTATAGGAAACAACTCACAGTTGGGATAGCATCCTCTGCATCTCTTCATTAATCTGATTGGCTGAGGTGGTGCCCGCATCCTCCTCTTTTGTTCCACCTCCATCACTTTCTGAGGTGCTGGTTGGCTCATCTGTCTCACTGCCATTGGCAGGCTGAGCTGTCTGCTTCCGTGAACGATTGTTGATGGATGATTGAGGGCTTGGTACCTGAAAGGAAAAGAATTTACAAAGACCGTAGGAGAAAGCAGTGGAAGTACACAGGCAAAAAAATAAACAATGCTGACATCTGACCTGTTCCACAGCCTGTCCATAATTCGACACACATCACCTCCAAGAAAGAAACATCAGCAGAAAAACATTTCAGCATTGCGGCAGAGGGAGAGAATGTTGAGGCAGGAAATGTCCTTCAAGCATCTTCAAATCAAGTCTAATCCATCAAAATGAGCAAATAATGCAAAATCTGATCAAAACTAATCCAGCAGGCTTTAGTGTACAGTTACTTGAGCTGTACAGAATCAGCCAATTTCTAGAGAGAAATTATTAGAGCCTTTATTGAGCAAATATTCTTGCAAATGGGTCAGATGAATTTAGATGCATGGTTCCAGATGGGCATTACATTTGAACACCAACCTGCTCATTCTCTCCCCACAAAAATGAGTAAGCAGTGCAGTGCAAATACACATTTCACTCCAATGTAGAGTCAGAAACAGGTAGAGGCAGTGTGTATGGGTTAGTGTGGGTGTGTTCCCACACCTTGAAGATTTTGATTGGGTCCTCGCAATTCCTCTGTTGTGCCAGATCACAGAGGCGAGCTGTGATATCGATGCGTCTGCAGATATCCATATCCACCTTCATCGCTTTCTCCTGGATCTTACTGTCCAAGTCAGACAAGTCCTATTTGTGAGAAAGCAAAGTACTCACTTCATTACACAATAACTTAATAAATTTATTATACTGTTTGCAAAACATGTTTTTGCTATGCTAATGTGCTATTCCAATAAATCTTTAATCAAACTATAGTATTACTGGTCAGTATTCGTATAAAAAAATTCACAAACAATAAAAAATCTTACTCATCAACTCAAGTTTAAATTTTAGTACTTTTAAGTGTTTGACAGTTTAAGATTTATATAAAAGCTTTAAATTTATCCCATAAGCATTTAATTTAAAGAAATATGTGGCAACAGGACCTTTCAATGACCAAGAAAGCTTTCTAAACTCCATAAAAGTGTATTTAAATTATGTTAAAGCTATTTTAAATAATGTACATGTAAGTGCAATAAATCTAACTTTAATCTCTTGTAGTTATTCTAGGCGTAGTTATCTCCTGTTTGAAATCAGTGAGGGCAATTCTCCTTCTTCTATTTCTGAAATTAGCTTAGCTCTTTCATGTCTGACTCATCTCACCCAAGTATTAACAGAATAATATTTCCATTAAAAAGTATAAGATCTTGTAATTTACTAAATTAGACCTTATCTTCATCTCAGAGCTCTTTCAGCGTCTCTGTGAGAGTAGAAGCAGAACCCATGCTTTTCTCATTTGTCTTCAGAATATCTTACAATTACTGTTCATGTTAATCTCATTTTTCCCAAGAGGGGTTTAGGTGAAATTCAGAAAGCAATGATCATTCATACAGTATTGAGATTTGCTTTATTTTTCTTCAGACAAAGAAACATTAACCTTAAGAAAGACATTTTTCCTTTGGGGTGTTTTGTGATTACACTCACATTGCTCATTAGACCCTTGAACAGGACTAACTCAGCCTTAAGCTGCTGCACTCTGAGGGCCAGCTCATCCTGACACACCTCACTCTCCTGCAGGTCCTAAACACACATACACACAAGACAACATAAATGATTATATTGCAGACAAAATATTTTGAATTAGGTAAGCTGCACAGTGCAGTGTTCCAATCCTGTAAACCAACTGGGACTACTTTAGCCAGAGACAATTGGTCATATTTAACTTATTCTCAGAGTAAGAATGATGATTTGGGTTCAGTTTACATCTTTCATATAACACTGATTAGCATTAAATGAACTGAAGAGACCTGATTTTAGAGCAGTGTCGTTACTCTGAGACTCTAAGTTAATAAATGGGCCACTGTGTCTGTAACATTCATAGGGCCTCCATCACAAACCTACATACCAACATACCTGACACATTCCGCCTGCAGGAATTTCAAGCTGAAACAGGAAAATTTCAAAAATAACAGAGGAAAGTGGACACCCCACCTCAAAAACACACCTGGCTCAGAAAGTAAGAGCAGTGTCAAGGGTACTTGAGAAAAAACAAGCTAAACCAACACAAATTAAAACAGGATTGCATATATAAACTCAAAGTCTTGGTATAAATTGCAATTGTGTAATACTGACAAATAAATAATTATTAGTTGTCTCAATATAATCTTGCTTATAGAACTGTAGGGCCTACTGGTTTTCCAAATGCACATTAAATACACTCCTGGAATACATATAGACTTTTCAAAAGAGCATTAATGTCAATGTAATAGTGTAATTTGAAACCCAAGCCCTCCCAGCACTGCTGACTGGCTAATTTCAGCCTTCACTTGCTCAAACAGAACACAGGGTAAAGGGTTTAGGCTTTAGCTTTTATTTCGTGTTCTTATATTAAATAAACACAGTACAAGAGCTCATTCAGCTCATGAGGGGTTTGATAGTGAACTGATGAGATGATTCAGCTGTATTAGAGTAGGGCAAATATTACACTGGGCAGTGCTGTAGCTGTGTAGGGCAGGGAATGAAGATCATTATTCTCATTTCAGATCAAAGATATGTTAAACACATTCCTCTGGGTTTGTCTAATTAGGCTATACAATGAATATAGTAGCACATAGACACTGAGCGTTCAGGATAAAAACAGGACAGGACATAAACACCAGGAACACAGAAAACATCTGCAATGAGCTTAGGGCCAAGATAAAACTGCTGAAAAGTGATAAAAAGGGAGAGAAAATCATAACAGTTTCCATCCTTGACTCAGGCCCTGCCAAAAGACCACAGAACGTAGAGAAAAAACATTCCAGCTTTGTACATTTTGAAAACAAGCCACTCGGCTGCCTCTGACCTACCAAAGAGCATTCAAAATATAAGTTTAATAACCCATTTGAACAAGCGTTTAGAATACATTCCAAAGAAAGTCATCTTGTCAAGTGAAATGATCTTAAATCTAGTCGATGTATCTATATATTTCCCATTTTGAGATGGTTGTGCACTTATTATAAGATTATCTCGCTTATTTCTAGAAACTTTTCACTTGTCATCTTATTAAGTAAAATTATCTAACTATACTTGCAGATAATGTTGCTGGTTTCAAGCACATTTCGTAAAACAAGCAAAATGATCTGTCAACACAGTGAGTTATAAAATTACTTAACACAAGTAAAAAATGTCTAGAAAGAAGGTAAACATTCTTAAATTAAGCTTACAACAATCTCAACAGGAGAAATATTAGATCTATTTACTATATTTAAGATAATTTTACTTGACAGAATACCATTTTTTGCAGTGTAGTGTTAAATGGCATTGCTGTAGTTGATGGCGAAAAGAGGTGCCCTTATACAGTTTTTTTCTATCATGGTCCCCATGGTTGATAGCACCCTTGGTTTATAGTCATATCCCTTAAACATGATACTAGACAGATACTTGGAATGAAGTTTGTCCATTTTGTGTACATTTTGTGTGAAACTGACCAAAGGACACTCAGGAAATCGCTAAGAACTTACCCAATATGTTGGAAATCCTTCATTCCTCATTCAGTCGACATTGGAAACACATGTGAAATGGCATGCAAAGCACACAGTCACAGTTCACAGTCGCTGAAGTTGCTGCAACATTTTTGGAAAGTAGCGCAGAAGATAATTTTTGAAATGAGACATATGGGTATCATGTTATATGCAAGTGCCTTTAAAGGTGAATTTAGGAATATATGCAAGATTTGAGAAAATGCTCTTAGACCCCAGATGGTTAATAATGGAACTAGGGCTAAAACTCTCAATAATATTGACCAGTATCATTTTATATTTGTCTCTTATATTTTAATTTTATACTCAGTGTTAGTTAAATAGTACTTTATTGACCAACATCATTGTCAGTTCTCAATCATTACATTTCATAATATAATAATCATAATAACTCAAATAAACAGTAGAAACTCAGAACATGCAATACATAGTACATTGTAGTCCTGGGGACAGAGCTACCCAGAATGCCTTATGCTTCTGGTTTCTTTTTGTTACAGCATTTTATTTTGTTTTGAATGTTCTTCTCATGCTGAAGTTTAGGTTTGGATGGATATTGTATCTTTAACATGATGGTGTCTTCTGTTCATGTTCACCAGTTCAGTCATTAAGTAAACAAAGAATTTCTCATATGGAGCTGCTAGCTTACATGTCTAAAGTTCTGCCATATTATCAGGAGGCACTAGCTATTGCTGATGTTATAGGCCAATGCCAATTATACCGTGGCTCACTAATATTAGCCAATATTATTGGCCAACCAATATATCGGTCAGGTCCCAGGAGGAACATATTTAAGCTTGACAATTCTTCTGGCATCTCACCTTCATCCCATCTCCTCCCTCTATTATTAAAGTCTAGTTCAGTCTCACACTCTCCACTGAATATAAAGATGAATCATAAGAATGAGCGGAATTGTGAATCAGAATGAACAAAGAGTTGCAAATAACAGGATGAGGGGTGGAGGAAGAGAGGGCACCCCCACGAGTGAGAGTGAGACTGAGAAAGAGCCCACACGAGTGAGACTGAGAAAAGGAGAGAATACAAAATAGCACAATAATAGATATTAGATCTTCTTACCTCGTGTAGGTCTTTAACCTTCTGTTGGAGATCCACTCTCATTGTGTATTCCTCCTCCCATCTTAAAAAAAAAAAGACAAAACAGTCATCAACCTAAACAAGTTTAATATAACACAACTTCCTGGAGTACCCCCTGTCCTGCACGGTTTTCTGCTCTAACACACCCACTTCAAGCCATTAGTTGGTTGCTTGGACTGAATGTTTTAGAGCAGGGAAAACACCTGAATACACAAGGTACAAGTACAGTACTGCGCAAAAGCCAAAGACCACCCTTCATTTGTTTCATTTCCCATCAAAACAACCATCAAGTACAAGTTATTTATCTTTCAGCATGAGAAAAAAGGAGAAGACAAATATTTAACAGAAAATAACATAGAAGCCTCATTAACTAGATATAATTTCAGAAGTTTCAGTTTTTTGGGTGTCTACTTTTTGCCTTTATTACAGCTTCCAAAGTTCACTCTGTATGATCCAAGTAACATCACATGCATTCTGTGATGTTGAGGTCTGGACTCTGGGGTGGACAGTGCATCATACTGGGAACATCACCAGCTTCCTTGTTTGATTTGTAAATTTCACTTTATTAGTAGCAGCTTCTTGACAGCTACATATCCTTTCAGACTCACAGTGTTGACAGAAACACATTTTCAGAAAAAAAAAATCTTTTTCAGATCTGAAGATCAAGAATGGAGCTTAATTATCCCTAAAAGATGAAAGCTTTAAAGGGCCCATATCTTACATTTTGTTGAATTTCCCTCTTCTGCTCTGCTTAATACATCTGGGTGGTTTTATGAACCAATAATTAATTTTTTCATTACCATTTTCCAGCCTCTCTTTATACTTTAGATTTAAAAAGCCTGTTTTTGTTACTGTACCTTTAAGACTGATGTAAGATAAATGAACTCTATTCTAAATGGCCCTGTATTGTGCCTCATTCAAAAAGAACTCAGAACTGAAATACTCCTTGTAAGTTCAATATAAATGGGTGGAGCTAAACTACTGTGGGCTGAAAAGTTAGACAGATGCAAATTAATTGGTTCTGGTGACATCACAGAAACTGTTCATTTAAAATGAGCCGCATGGTTTTCATATATGTATGGACTGGGTAGCATATGGCATGTTTTAAAACTTTGTCAGTGTTTACACATTACTTCAAACTCCAAGGGAAAATTGCTTTTCAGTTATACGGGTCCTTTAAATACTGTTTATCTGATGGTGACAGTTTTGGTGGTCTACCAGGTCTTGCAGGTCTTGAATTTAGGAGTACCATTTTCTCTGTATCTTGAATAATTTTTTAAACTCCAGTTTTGGAAACTCCAGTTTTTCCACTTATTTTGCTTTAACTGTCCCCTTCCTTGGGCAAGTGGTTTATCTTTATCTAATCTACTAGAAAGATCTCCTGAAAAATGAATAATTTGTACTTAATGGTAACTGGACAGCACTGTATTTCAGGACCAAGGTGGCGAACCACTAGGCTCCAGGACCGAAGCTTCATCACTGTGATATGCAAACACAGACTACAGATTAATACTGCCAATCAAATAGGCTTGCATGAGGACTTTGTATTGTGCATATATGAGTGTGCTAGCGTGACGACTTCCAAAAGCTTGCACAGTGATTCATTAGTCATAGTGGAGAGCATGCACAGTAGAAGTGTGCAGTAGAGTAGAACTGAGCGAGTCCTCTGCTCTCTCGCCGCACACGCTCTCTCTTACGTAAGGGCTCTTTTAAATGCAGTGCACTGCAGTATTCTCCAAGCTTATTAAAGCCTTCTCGCCAGAATACAAGTTTAGACTTACAGCAAACATTACAAGCAATTCCAAGATGCCGAAACACAATTACTGAAGGAATGATAGATGGGGAAGGTGAGAGAGAAAAAGAGAGAAAAAGAAAGCAAGGGAGGGGAGGAAGCAGAGAGAGAGAGGAGGAGGAGAGGAAGATGACTCCGTCAGTGCTAGCCTGTGAACTGCAATGCAGATACAGTGTGAAGTAATGATACACAGGGAAGGACAATCAGCTTGCATAGTGTGAATGAATGAATAATATTACAGTGACTAACCAAGAGAAAGACACAGAGAGTCTGAAGTGTAAAAATAGACAGAGACATGCTCAGGATGACAAAACTTCTGAGTTAAAATTACTCTTCACATGCCACAAGCGGAGAGTCAGTGTACACATACAGATGGGGGTCTTTATGACTCGTCAGCCTTAAATAAAACAGTTATTGTGTGACTGCAGGGGGAATGGGGCCACTTGGCTTAGTAATTGTGAGATAGGCCAGGACACAAAGCTGCAGTTTTTCCTCAGGGAATAAAGTGTAATTCCATAAAGAGAAGCTTTTACTAGGGGCTTTCAAGTCCAAACTGATTTAATACATAGCCTATGCCTTCACTCCTCACTTCACTGATTGATTTCTCATCCTCATTCCTTCTCCATTCCTTAATGCACAGACAAATCCCTCTCTATGTCTGATTTGATGTCACTAGGTCTCCAAAAAGGCCGAGCGCACTCCATGCTGGTGTGTGGTATGATGTAGTTTGTGTGTAATATTTCAAGTGAACAAACTGTTAAGTGTACACTAATCATATCCCATTTTCCCTGAAAATTCCCTTTTGTCACAGATCAGTGCCTCCAACATGAATTAGAGGAAATGGGCTCTGCTATAATTCTCCATTCAACAATCACAAAATGATCCTCTAGGCCAGTCAGGACACACAAGCTCTAACAGCTGCACTTATCCATTTCAGAAATAACCCCAGGTTCAGTTTAACTGGAGCTACTGGGTGCGAGAACCAATTCATCACTGCAATTAATTTTGCTGGATCATAAGACAAACAATTTATGACTGCTCACAAGGCACACCATGTTCCGGTCTTGTATAGGACTTCAACATGAAGTAGCTGAAACCCACCTCCCCCTTTAAATGAATGCTGGGAAAATGTAGTGAAAATATGTCAAGATGCTTTGCATACAGTAAGAACCAAACCCGTCTGTTATCTGTTTTATCTCAGCATGGCTGTTCTTTTGGAAAGATGTGAATTGTTTTCACAGCAGGTGGTTCTCACCCCTCCCCATTACCCACCGCCCATTACTCACTAGCAGCTTAACAGAGATTCACAATTTTTAACACACAGAGAGCCAACAGTGTCCTAATTAAGAGTTAAGGAGAAAATATTTTATTTGATTATATTAATTTCAGCAGTATTGGTCACTAGGAGGCCTGCAGAAAGATGTTAGGGAACCAAAAAGGGTTCTTCTATGGCATCGCTCCAAACCTTTTTTGGCTTAGTTATTTTTAGCACCACGGTTTAGCACTAAGTGAAAACAGAAAGAAGCTTGTGCCTCAGCACCAGGAGCATGGACAGCACTCACATGCACTCACTTTCACTTACTGGAGCATGCTGACGTCAGTGGGGCTCAGGCCTGCTTAATGCAGCTGCTTGGGGCTTTTTTTGCTGAGCCCTCTGTTGCTCTGGACACTGCAAGGTTCAGCCATAGAGTGTGTCTCAAATTGCACCCCAGTTCTATACATGCCAAGTTACTATTTATGGAAAACGGAAGTGAGTGAACTGATTAGGACATCAGATCATAATCCAGTACTCCACAGTACATGGCTATTTGCAGCAGTGCTTACTTATTGCAGGGTTCAAGTGAGTGTGGGACTCTTTCTACAGATTCCTTATATCACATCCAGTTGCCCCTCTAACCATGATGTATTAACCTGGAACTTCTAATGACAAGCATCCTTTGAGCATTTCATATTTTCTTATATGTTGGCGAAACATACATATTTTAATGTTTTTATTATTTAAGACATCCATGTGTTCTGTTATGAACAGTATCCACCATCTTCTCAAATTTAGCCACCCACTTCATAAACCATGGAACAATTGAACTGAATAGTATCCAGTGTTTACACATCTCAGATTCTGACCAGCTGTACAACAGCAGAGGTCACCAACTATGGTGCTGGAATTCAACCCTCTTGTGGAGTCTAGTTCCAACCACAACCTGCCACACCTGCTCCACATAATTAACCTTTTCAGAAGTTCTTGGTAATGGGGGCGGGGAAGGGACAAATGTTAGATCCAGGTTGGAACAAAACTCTTCAGGACAGTAGATCTCCAGTAGAATCGTTGGTGACCACTGTACAACAGCATCTGGATACTGGAGTAGACTGAAGAGGGCACATATTTGTCCCCTACATTTTGAGGTGCACTGTGGAATCTGAGCATACATTTCAGTGCCCTAAGGTAATTTCTATTCTGGGGCACTCTACAAAATTACTGAATCTTCAGCTACTTCACCATAGGGCGTATTTGAGAAAGGTGTCTTGATCATGACCATACATTTAGGCTGCATTTGGAATCACTCCAAATTATTGCAATGTCAGTCATTCTGTATTGTTTGAATGTGTTAAAGTTATGGTTGTTTCCCAGCTACTTCACTAAATAGTGGTCAATAGAGAGTTAATAAGTTAATAAGTGAACCACTCTAAGCAAAGTGCTAGCCACAAAATTGTGGCATTAACTTGCCAACCAAGTTCCTGGCAATGTACTATAACACTAGTGTACTATAGCTCATATAGGGTCTATTTCTTTACTATACTACATACAGTAGTGTACTGGTACATATGGAACAAGGGTTTGGTTTGAGACGCACCCTGTCACACCAGTCAAAAGCACCTTCATTTGCTACACGTGCAATACCTAAAACGCACTCTAACCTTTCTTGGTGGATCTGTCACGACTGTGGTAACCTGATCCAGGCCCAGAGTGCACATGCATTTCCCGTTCATGCAACCCATCCATGCAAATAACCCCGCCGCGGCCGTTCACCTGCGCTTGTACTCGTCCCTCTCCCTCTTTACTTTGGCCAGGACGTTGTACAGTGCCCGAATCTCGGGGGTGATGGTGTCTATCTGCACGCCCACACCGTCTGGGTGCACCCAGGACACACCAGGGCTGGTGACCCTCTCTGTGCCCGCGCCCCATCTCCGGCTGGGGCTGTAGGACCAGATGGTGCCGGGGAGGAAGCGGGGAGGAGGGTTGGGGGCCGCGCTATTCACATTGGGCGCATTGTTGGAGTTGTTCGTGTTGGCCGCGGCGGGCTCGGTGGGCGTCGATGCGCTGAGCGTTATGGCCGGATTCGCACTCCGAGCCTGGAGCGCAGCGGCCAGAGGAGGCGTGAACAAAACGGTGGGTCTCCTCGCGGAGGAGCTGTTGGAGTTTTGAAAGGGCAGGGACGAGGGCCGGACGGGGATGGGCCCCACGAAGCCGGTCTGCACCGCGCTCTCTTTGCTCTGCGCCCGCGGCCCTTCCTCACCCGCGTTGCTCTCCAGCGCCTGCTGCAGCTGCTTCTCCAGGATCTTGTTGCGCCTCTCCAGCTCGTGGACTTTGGCCAGGAAGCAGCGGAAGCGCAGGTTAAGCGTCTTCAGCACGCTGATGTTGGAGCCCAGGTCGTTGCGCAGCGCCGCGGCGGCGGGAGGGTGAGAATGGGGATGAGGAGGCAGGGCCCGGTGGCGAGAGCCGCTCACGGGCGCCAGAGCTGGCAGATCAGCCCCGCCGTCCTGAGCGGGGGGCTGCGGCTCGGTCAGAAAGAGGAAAGAAGAGTCGGGGAGCAGAGTGGAGGGGGAGTCCGGAGCTCCGGCTTCACCCTGCTCTCCCAGCCACGGATTCATGCTGCGGCACGGAAAGCTCGCACGCTGCAGATCTGGCATGAACACCGCCCTGTACTGCTGCTGTTGCTGCGCTCAGTAACTCTGCGCTGGGACCATTCACAGCACTCTGCACTTTCAGCACGCCAAATGTAGAGGAGCCTCAGCTGGCTCGGCTAGCGCTGGCTGACACGCAGAGGGCAGGCAACGCTGGTCGTGAAAGAAAAAAATGAACAAAAGCACACACCGGTTTCGTTTAAAACGTGGGTTCCGCAGCGCGAATATGCGGAAAAACAATAATAAAGGCTGTGATGAGAAACCGAATGAAAACAGAACCTTCTGGTTGCGAAGGCGCGTGTCGCAGCTTTCTTGCCTAGCAACGAAAAATGCACTGCGGGAGATTCGACAGGCGTTGTTTATTATTTTTTTAACCCACCGGTTTTTCGAAAAGCCCCACCCACCGTGCACTAGGATTGGTTGGAGTTGTCTCGCCTTCTGCGCTCGGATTGGCTAGTAATTCATGTTCAAAAGTGGCTCGCCTGCCAGCCAATCGGAGCGCCTACATGTCGGATTACTGGTGGGGAAAAAAGAACAACGCATTTCGAGGCTAAATTAGACTACCGTAATAGCCAAAGTAGCTTAAATAAGAGGCTATTGTTTTAGAATTACCATCCACACCACGTTTTTTTTAAATATAAGCTGTTATTTCATATCCAATAAATACAGAACTTTTACCGCAGGCAATTTGCAGTGACTTGAAAGTTGTATGTGACTGTATGTCAAAATTACCTTATAACAAACAAAACCATGATATCTCTTCTTTTGAGAAAAGTTATTAATTTGATGGGTAAATAAGTCCTGTATTCTTGTAAGAATTTATGCACTTTTCCTTTTCCCCTCCTTTCTAATACTTGTGGCTACATAACCCTTTACATGTTTAAATTAAATAAAAATAGAAAGAAAGAAAGACAGAAAGAAAGCAAATGTGTCAGAGAAGTTGTAAGATTACAACTTAGGCTACAGTTAGATAATTGTATGAAATTGTATGATAATTGTGCAATATTCTATGAAATAAGAAATAATATAAAGAGAATATAAAAGAAAATTAGAGAAATGTGATCAGTGTAGGACAAACCTTTATTCAAACTTGATTTCATTTATGATTTAATCTGTAATACTTTGCAATAGGACAACATTTTGCATGCATTGACAGGAAAATGAACAAAATTTTAAAAATGATTGTAAAACAACTGGATTTACATTTGCTTAGTAAGTTGCCTTCTATGAGGGCTTTAATGATAATGGATAAACACAATGACATCACTACAGGTACATTCTACCGAAAGTTTCAGCTCATTTATATGACAATGATTTGTGCCAAGTGCCTATTTATTTAGCATGTGCTGTGTAATCGCACATTACTGAATAGAAATATATCAGAGAGACAGTCCATGGCACTGAGGGCAGAACAAAAGGAAATCATGGTCCAGGGAATCCTGGAGGAATGAGCATGCCAACACTCTGGACTCTTATGGACTTTCTAAATCTACATTTTTTGATTCTGTAAAAACCTTGGCTACCGACATTTTGTTCTTGTCGTCAGTCCTCATAATTCAGCAAGCTGCTAGATGTGGATTCACATTTCTCCCTCTCTGTCTCCTTCTGTCCTTTGCTCCCTTGCTCCCTCTGTAGGTTGGTCTGTATGTCCACAGTGGCAGCATCAAGAGATGTCCATCCTGCAGAAGTGTCGTCCTGCCAGGGCCCCGTCTGTCTGTTTCCTTTCCCTATATCCTCCTCTTTCATCCCTCGCTCCACAGATGAGTGTGAGGTCGCTGTGCTTCTCCTCCTCCAAATGTGAGAGTAAGAGAGACTGATGCTGCTGTGAAAACCTGAGAGGGGAGAGAGAAAATGAAGGTGGAGAGCCATTGTTTTAAACATACAAAGAAAGGATCTCAGTACTTACATTGGATACTAAAAGCATCACTTGACTTATCCTTAATGTGAAAAAAAAATACTTCTTTTCTTACCACTGGAATCACTCCCTCCTCTCCCTCTCCTCCTCCGTCTCTTTCCATTCTCTCCTCCCCAGCAGAACATGTCATAGACGTCCTCTCTGAAGTCGCGATTCATAATCTGGTAGATGAAAGGATTGATCATGCAGTGTGACTTTGCAAAAATGGCTGGGATCAGACTGACCTCAGGCCTCAGACTAGACACAGGCCGGTGACCCTGATGCTCTGCTCTGTCAGCAACCACTGTAGAGCTGGGTCTGGACCCGTGGTGGCTGTACTGATCTGGGGTCACGTTCCTCCAGGAGTCATATATATCTCCATAGTTTTCTGTGGATGTCCAGTTGATGAAGGGGTGGAAGCTGAAGTAGTCAGAAAATCCACCACTCGTGTGTCCAGTTCCTGTTCCTGAGATTTCTGTCACCATGCCAGCTCCTCTGGCCTCTTCTTGCTCGTCCTTGATGGTGAGAGCAGAGTAGAAGGAAACAATGGCATATGGTGTCCAGGCTATGAGGAACGAGGAACACACCACTGCTGCTATCTAGTCACAATGATGAATAAAGAAAAGAAAAACATAGAACACTAAGAACCTTTTTGAGACTTGCAATTAAAGGAACATTCCAATGTTTTTTTATTTTTTGCAGTTTTGACAGTGTTTCAGAACAACGTTGGTGTTTTTTTTTCTTGTGAAGCCACATAAAACTCTCCACATTCCAAATGACAGTGCTTGCTAAGTTAGCTCATAGCATAGCGACAATAACAGCTGTTATCAACCATCAATAAACAAAGTTGTAAAAAATGAACAGCCTAATTATCAGCTATTCCAAATGAAGTTTTAATTCCTCTTTAATTAATTTCATTATTAATCAATACCTTTCAGCAACATTCCCAAGCACCTTTAGTGCGGTCTTTGGTGAAGGCTGCATTGATTTTTTATGCCCACTCACCCAAAATTCCTTGAAATATATACTAGAACCACTCAGAGTGGACAGGTTTTTATAGCTGCCTGATCAAAATGGCTGAGACAACTGATAGCATAATTTCAATGGATACTGCACATGCATTCCTGGTTCCAGATGCACACTTTTAAACACAGTGCACCTAAGGTCTGTTGCCCTACACATTCACATGTGGTTGACATCATAAGGAGGACCACAGAGCTTAGGGTGCCTGTTGGGACAGGCCTGTAATATGTTGTTTTCATGCCGGCCTCATGGACCTCTGTGGACATCATTACCAACAATATGAGCGACACTAGTGTGTAAAATACGAAAACTACAGTAGGCTTCAGCCTGACAAATATTTGAGAGATGGTTCTGAACCCATTCCGGGTGATTCTGATTCCAAATGGTTCTAAAACCTGTCGGGTTCGGACAAATATTTGAAACTCTTGTGAGAAAAACAATGGAATTTTCCTTTAAAGCATCAAATGCATTTGAGAAAGTCCTGAAGTCAATTTTAAACAGCAAATACCTTGGTCAGACGCAGGTCTTTACTGCTGCCATGGCTGACAGAAGACGAGGAAATGGAGGCCACAGTGCGACCAGAGCGATAAACCTGACAGAAACAGTGTTGTGTACACAGTTTAACCCATTTAAAGCTGTGAAGACACTTGAAATCAATAAAAAATACTAACTGCAAAGCTAACTTTAAGAATCAAATTTAAGGTAACATACTGAAACATTTCATCCACCTCATGTCTATGCTACATGTCTATGGCATCATTGAAACTGATACTGAACTGATACTTTGTTCCTCTCCTCATAATTCAGCAAGCTTTTGGAGGTAGATTTACTTAACTGATGTAACTGCTAGATAAGTATTTATCACTACTGACGTTTACACTGGTATTCTTCACTGTCTTCTCACCGTGATTAGGATGGCGATGTAAGAGGTAAGGATGATGAGAGTAGGAATAACAAAGCACATCAGCAGGATCAGATAGACGTAGATTCTGTCATTCAGAGATAATTTCATTCTCCACCTGCACAAAAGAGACATTATAAAACCTGAGCAATTAGCATCTAATCAGTAGGCCACATGAACAATTAAATGAATTCTCATGGTAGATCGTAATGTCTATCAGCACTTTAAACTGTAAAAGGAAAACTTTGAAAAACCTTTGGTAAAGTTTGAGCATCCCTAGTCAAACTGCATTTTCTAAGTGAAAATAAGTTACACATCCTCTACAGAGAACACACTTATGGTATGGCATTTTGCTTTTTTTTCATCCACAATTTCTGTTTATTTGCAGAGTTTAACATATTGGAAAAAATAAAACATAGAATAAAAATGCCCTGTAACTTTTGCACTGGACACATTTTGTGCCTTATATTTTTTCCAATATGTTAAACTCAAATAAACAGAAATTATGCATTTAAATGTGCAGAAGCATATTTCTGGAGCTCCTGAAGCTTATTCCACTTCTTTTGTAATGACTAACGACATCGCTACCAAGCTCACCCCGATACTGAATCTCAGGAAAAATAAATATGGTTTTGGGCATTCTTATTACAGTTTGGAAAGTATAAGAATATGGAAGAATATAAGTATAAGAATATGAGAGAATAATAAAGTTGTGTGGAGCTGAATAAGTGGATTTGTAAGGTAAGTAACCATGCTGTCAGCTCAGACTGAGAGTAAAAGCCCTTACCAGTTTATAGTGCAACTTGTTCCGTAAGGTTCAGGACCATAACTGCCAAAACCAAACACAGGGAGAACAGCCCAGAAGAGGGTGTATGCCCACATCAGAGCAAGGGACAGAGAAACATGCCCCCTCTCAATCCACTGACCTGAAAGAAGGACAGGGTGAGGACAATGTAAGAAACTTGCCCTCCATACTTTTCTGTACAGTAGCTGCTAGTCTGAATTTAGTATGCAGAAATATTTTGCTGATCATTCGTATAGCTTTTAGGATTAAATGTTACAAAGTAAGTAAAAACTGGGACATCCCTGAGGAAAACTTTACTCCTCAAATGATGCTCTATTATGGCTTAATAGTGATCCTCCTAAAATTCCTTAGGAGAAATAGCATGAGTTAAAAGAAGACATGAGACTTGAGTGTTATTATCTCAGCAAATCTAAGCACAATGTGTGACTTGAGATCTCCACTAAAAGGAGGCATATTTGAAAAGGGTCTTTCTCTCAGAAGAAATATTTAAGCAGCAGCAAAAGTCTGCTTTGTCTTTCCATCCAATCTCATTGCTCTCTAAGAGAAACTTCTGAGATATTAAGAAGATTGTTTTTTACTTTTCTTTCTCATAGACTAAGACAGAAGACATGTCCTAAGTCACCCTAATCAATATCCATAGGTCCCATAGGCAGCAACTACCGGGGGGGTGTTCCACTCACAGGCTCTTTTCCCGTCACACAGGGCTGCCAATTTCGCAGTTTTCCCAACAAATCCAGCTGGTTTGAAAATGCAGTGCAGGTGACAATTATATAGCCTCGGGGTGCGTTTTTGTACAGCCGCAGAAAAAAGTTTGAATATAAAAACGAATGGCTTTTGACTGTGACTCACTCATATCTTCATGGCAACTCACAGGTAGAGACACAATTCAGGTACCTCTGGACTTATTGACATGCTTCACTGGTTATTAACTTGCTAAACCATAACAAAGATGTGTGCTTCATTTCCTGTAAGTTTGCTTACTTACTTTTTAATAGAGAATTATCCCAGATTTGTATGATCACATGAATGAGTGACATAGAACACATGTTTGTTATGTAAGCAGGACTAAATGTTGGTGACTTTTTTTGGACTAAATATGATTTTAATTTAATTATCACCAGTTTCCTGGAAAAAAAAATGTAGACATTTTGGTGAGCTGTTGAGGTAAAATGAAACAACTGGAAGGCGATGGAACATATTAGTCATGTAACATTGAGTGCAGCATGAGAGAGATAGGACAGAAAGGAAAGAGCTGTGTCTCTGACCGTAGCGAAGGCTGCAGATCTTGAAGCAGCGGTCTAGGGAAATGAGACAGGTGGTGAAGAGGGAGCCAACCCCAAACACAAAACCCTGAAAGCCGTACCACAAACAGCCCACATCCCCCAGAATCCACCCATGAGACAAACTGATAAAGAGAAACAGAAAGAAAGGGTTTAATCCTACAGTCCTAGCTGGGATGTTATAGGATGTGGGTGAATGCTGGAAGGGCTGTAATTATTAACATTCCTTTCTTAGGCTGCTGTTATGACCTCAAGCAATGCACTTTAGCCCAATTTGCTCAGTGAGAACTGTCATACTGTGTGTATGTACATCAATTCCTCAACATGAAGGAAAGAGAAAGAAATTGTCTTGCCTATGGCTCACTTCTACATTTCAGTGCCACTCCCTAAAATATCATTACTGTATTCCAAAATATTACTGGCTGATTACTTCAAATTTGCTACACCCACAAATGATTACAATTAACAAATCCAGATGTAACTAATTTAGTACCACTCATGATAAGGCATTTTTGTCTAAAGCCATGCTTTATTAGATGTGTAATCTGCACCCCAGTTTTATCAAGTGTTACAATGGCATTAATTCCACTGTAAGTCTTCTTCTCATTATTTTTACCATCAGGTAGCCAATACCTTCAAACAGCACATTTTTAAAAGAGGAATTGCAGCATTTTTTCAAAATTTCTTGATAGTTCAAGTCATGGAGATTGTTACATGTAAGCACCAATGTAAGTGACCAATCAGAGGCCTGGCTGCTGCAGTCTTGGGGGGAGAAGCCTAAGCCTTAATAGGAGGCCTTCAAGATGGCTGAAAAGAGAGAGGAGCTGTGTTTTAGTTTGTATCTTTAATCTCAAGTTGGGAGTATGCTTTTGTTTTAGTTATTTTACCAGTACATCTTTTAGTTTACAAGAGTTTATTTCTTGTGTTAGGGGAAGTAGTTTTTTTTTTTACATGCACACTTAACTTGTGTTTTACAAAAGACCACCTGGGGTTTCATGCAGGTGCCTATACATTCTCACCATGTAGATGTCTACTCTGTCTTGCTCCCTAGATGAGAGGGTGGGCACTGCCACATGTACTTTTGATTAGTGGCCAGGGAAGTGTAGAATCATTAGCTTTTGTTTCTTTTAGTAGGTTAGCTAAGTACTGTTTGTTTCAGTGTAGGCAAGCATGATTAATTCTTTTGTGTTCTTTTCCTTGGTGCTGTCCGCAGTTTGATTTTTCCAGTGTGGTACTAGATATCATAGCATAGAATTTTATTGTGGTATTATTTTAATAAAATTGTTTTTATTAAACCTCTATTGGTTAGTTTCTCAAGCTTTTAACCTGTCATCACCAGTTTGATGTTTAATGCCACACGTTACTGGTCCCACAGCGCCCTAGACAAAATGTGGGGCTGTAGCAGGTGTAAAAAAGTAATTCGGAGTGGTTTGATGTAAAATGGTTCATTGTAGAGAAACTTGCTGACTGAGATTTCTTTATAGTGGTGGTGATGGAAACCAGGGTCATGATGTATACCAAGCAAATATAACCATTTTATTTACTTTTCAAAATAACCAGCGAGTCTACATGTGTCTTCTGAGTTTTTATATGTAACACTGACAGTGGAAAAATAGACATTGGGCCTTATTCACCAATAGATTTCTAAGTTTTTTTTGAGAAAGGTCCTAAGAAGAAGTCTACATCAGATTCATGGTGTGTTCTTAAACTGCAGAACACTTGTGTTCTCGAGTGTGCTTAGACTCTGTTCTTACCTAAGAACATATCCTAAATAAAAAGCATTGGTGAATGTCAGAATCTTTGTAAAAACCGTGTAAGTGGGTCATGTTTTAGGCTAAAACCTTATCTCAAAACTTTTGTAAACAATGTTTCAGGCATCAGGCAGCATACTCTGTGAAGTAGTTTTAGAAGCATTAAATTCTTCATATGTCTGGTTCCCATCACTTACACTATGAACAGTTCTGACTCTGGTTCTTTCCCTAGGACTGAACATTTCACATCAAACCACTCTGACTGACTTTGTTTACATCTTATCCATTTCATCATACAGAAATTTTGAAAAAATCAGTGTAATTCCCCTAAACGAAAGCTGAAGTTATACAGTTGCCAGAATGTAACTGCTGCACCATTTAGGATGGAAAGGAAATTTGGGATAAAAAGCTGCTGAATAAGTAGCCAATTTCAGCCTCTTACATATACTGTAAGAATGAAGTTTCAAGAATAACTACAATTAAAGACCTACCTGGAGACAACTACGCATGGCGCCCCCAGCACACTGTAACCAAAATCGCACACTGCTAAATTTATGGTCATCAGCTCATGAGCTCTCAGCTTCTTCCGCTTCCGTCCATGAGTCAGTAACACTACCCCATTCCCAGTCACAGATACCACCCCTGAAAGAGAGAGGGGTGTTAGTTTAGGTGGGGGGATCCCATGAAAATAATGATATTATTTATAATCACTGAAGAACTGGACAGGATATAGGACAGTAAAAAAAAAGAAGAGAAAATGAGTTTCTGTGTGGGTCCTCTGGAAAAGACCAACCCATCTATACTGGAAATATTTATATTCATTTTCCTTTCTGATGCACGTCAGTATGTGCAGTGACCAATCAATATAATTGTTTACTTTCTTGCATATTAAAGTACATACTGACTGTGATTCATGTCTTTCCTTCACTTAACCTGCCATGACGTAACAAACTCTGCCCTCATCTGAACTATTATCATTAATTTAATGTAGAAGTATGTATCTAAGTGCATAAATACAGATAGATAGATAGATAGATAGATAGATAGATAGATAGATAGATAGATAGATAGATAGATAGAATAATGGTTGCGGGACCCACCTGTGATGATGAGGATGATGGCTACAATAAGGTCAGTAGAAGGGGTGAGGTGGGAGTGGAAGGAGATATTGATGGAGGAAGGGTGAAACACAGACCCCCTCCAAGAGTGGTTCACTCCCACAGACATGAGCTGCTCAAAAAGAATAAAAAATAGTTTATCCTCATAACTGCCACATATTTTTATCCATTAATGAAAGAAAACAGAATGAGGCTGCAGCCCAATTATCAGGAAACATAAAAATGTCAACACACCCAAAACCCAACATGAATACACAGAACACAACATGCATTCTTCTCTGAGTTGGTCCTGTGACTGTAACAAATCAAACCAATGAACCTGGTCAAATTCAAAACAGTGACTCTTCACAATTCATTTGCAGGCTATATATTCTGAACTCAAATACTGCTGTTCATTCTTTTCATAGCTACACTAAGAGAGAGAGAGAGAGAGAGAGAGAGAGAGAGAGAGAGAGAGAGAGAGAGAGAGAGAGAGAGAGAGAGAGAGAGAGAGAGATTAGAAATCTCCTTTGTCTGTTGTATGTCTTTACCAATCAAAAGTTACCACATCCCATTTCTCATTAGTTCACAGATCAATAGCAAAACAAAAAATAAGCTAGAGAAGAGAAGAGAAGAGAAGAGAAGAGAAATGGAGAGAAATGAGAAGAGTACATAAATGGAGAGGATTTGAGAAGTGAAATAGGAAGGAATTGAGAAGAGAAGAGAAGAGAAGAGAAGAGAAGAGAAGAGAAGAGAAGAGAAGAGAAGAGAAATGGACAGGAATTGAGAAGAGAAGAGAAGAGAAGGGAAGAGAAGAGAAGAGAAATGGAGAGGAATTGAAATGGAGAGGAATTGAGAAGAGAAGATAAAGGGAGAGAATTAAAAACAGAAGAGAAATAGAGAGGCTTTGAGAAGAGAAGAGAAGAGAAGAGAAGAGAAGAGAAGAGAAGAGAAGAGAAGAGAAAAGGAGAGAAAAGGAGAGGAATTGAGAAGATAAAAGGAGAAGAATTGAGAAGAAAAATAGAGAGAAATTAGGAAGAGAAGATAAATTGAGAGGAATTGAAAAGAGAAGAGAAATAGAGAGAAATGAGAAGAGACGATCAAGGGAGAAAGAAGAGAAAGAAAACAGAATAGAACAGAACAGAAAAGACTGTCCAGAGTTAGAATCCCTAAGTACTTAAGTATTATCTGGAACACTCTGTCTGTGTTGATGTCTGTGGTTTGTGCAGTGTCAAATAAAAACAGGTGTCTTCATCATCCCCAGGCTGTGCAGCGTTAGCAAAAACAGTTTAGAAGACTTACTCACCTTCCGCTAAGTGACTCACCCCGTCTCCTGTCTTCTCTCACTCAGTTTTTTCAGATAGCCTCTGCTAGTTCATTTCCAGTATTGTCGCTGTTTTAATACTCCTCTTTTGTGGTTTAGATCTTCTGTTTCCTCTCTATCTGTTTTTCTCAGAAGAGCAAATCAACTTTGCTCTGGTCAATCTGGCAGACGACTGATCAGTCCATGCATGCACACAAAGTGAAAGAGAGACTTAATGGAAAGCTCTGAGGCTTTTTGCCCTGCGCCACCTCTCACTCTCTGCCACTCTGTTGCATCCCCCAAAGCGAGGTGTCTCACTCTCTACGGGTGTGTATGTGGTGGACGCTTCATAATGACATTAATCTGGACACAGCTCCAGATAGGTAGATAGAAAAAGGCACAGAGCTTGACATGGAAAAGAGTGACTCCTGGCACGCATGGCACTTGTTGATTTGCAGATGAAGAGGGGTCAGAGATTGGAAAATTCATTACGCAGGAGTAAAAGCTGTCAGAAAAGTACTGCATGGTCACATAATCCCCAGGACTCTTTCTTATAAAAGGAATTGAACAGGAGCTTAAAAGAGGAACACATAAGCTTAGTATTAATCTCTGAGATGGAGGTTTTTAACATTATCATGCATGTCTGTGGGGAGCAGCAGGACCCCAGATTTATGTGTGTGCAAACACCACCAAAAATACAGCAACGACCATAGTCCAAGTAGGTATGGGACAGCCAGTGTTTGACTGCACAATAACCATTGTTAACACATTTAGAGTTATTATTGCTGTTTTGAAAGACATCTAAAAATGTCAATGATTTGATATCAGGTATCCGTATTGCGCTGATATCATCCAGATGCCAGATCAGATATCAGCAGGAAAAAAGAGTAGTTTGAGCATGACACCCTACTTCTAGATGTTCATTTTCAGTTAAGTGTTTCAATGAAAAATATGGAATTCCAATATGCTTTTTTGTTCAGCTAAGCTTAGCATGACAAGGAAAATACCACAGAACTTCTGATTGGTGGTATAGCTGTTTTATATGGCAAGATGTTGAAAGGACATCTAACAATATCCAATTTTCATACTTTTATTCCCATTTATTTTTAGACTTTGTTGTGGTCCCATGTGACCACAACAATCAGTGGTCCCATGTGACCAAAAGACTGAAGTTAATTAGATAAATTACATAAAGAATGTCTACTTTGTAGACTCACACATTTTGATACATTGAAAAAAATTCTACAGATTTGTGCTCGGGCAAGCTCAGAGAACATATGGACCAAAAGAAATTTAAATTTCAAACATGGACATTAAGTTAAGGAAGGCCTTGTGGGCCAGTGCACTCTCACATCATAATGACAACAAAATAATCATGTTATTGGGCAGTTTCTACTCACACCATGGAATTTAAAGCCTTAAAGTACAGATCATCCTTTTCATCTCTCAGTCTGAGGTTTTCCCCCATACATAGTTATAACAATTTATCGACATTAGAAAATAATTGGAGAAATTATAAAATAAAAACAACAGCTTTGAGGATCTACTTTTTAATGCGCTGCCTTTGTTTGTTACCTCGAACGTACAAACACAGGCGGAGCATACAGCAACACTTCACCATCACCTCTCTGTGCCTCTTTCCTATCATGTGCCTTCTATGTGCTGCTTTTTCTAGCACTCCTGGCATGGCTGAAGTCAAGCGTGCAGTAATGACGTGCAGATATGTTGCTGAGGCTAAAAGGATGCACGCACACTGGAAAGCTTGCCTGTGCTTTTAACTCCAATGTCAATAACATTGATGAGCATATTTCATATAGATTTACTCAATGATATAATGGCCTGAACATGCCAGGATGCATTATTAATGCGGTATTACCCTTGGGTACTGATGGGCACAGTATCGACCAAAGAACGAGAGAGAGAGAGATAGAAAAAGTGAATATGATGTGAAAAGAATTATATTTAGTTGAATAATAGTGGTTCATTCAGCTTTATCTTCGCTGTTGTATTACCATAAGAAGGAGCTCTCACCCTTGATGGAGCATGAATAGCAATGTCAGCACCTTCTGTAGATTTGACTGAAGTAATTACATCTCAATTTTTCTTATGTAGTTCATGTAATATTTTCAGGGGAGAGAAGGGAGTCACAGAGACCAACTGAGCACACAGGAGTGTTTGAACATCTGTTGACATTGTGTTAGTCTTTTTATGAAAATGCTTTTACAGTTGCACAGTGCCTGTGACTGTGTGATCAAAATGGTATGAACCCCATTCCAAAATTGTTGGGACAGTAGGTAAAATGTAAGTAAAAACAGAAAGCAGAGATTTAGAAATCAAATTTGACTTGTATTTAAACAAAAACAGTGCAAAGACAATATATTTAATGTTTTCCTCCATCAGGTTTAGTAAATTTTGTAAACATACGCTCATTCTGAAATTGATGCTGATAAAAAAAGCTGGAAAAGAAGCAGAAAAACAGAATTAACATTATAAAATCTTTAAAATCTTTAAAAATATATCCTAAACAGGTAATGCAATCAGGCTTAGGTATAAAAAGAGCATGCAATAAAGGCCTAGTCCCTTATAAGCAAGGACGGATCAAGGCTCACCACTTGCAACAGAAAATGCCACAGCGAATAGTCCAGCGATATTTCTTAGCCCAGGAATGCAAGGATTTTAGGCATTTCACCCTCTACAGTTCATATCATCAAAAGATTTGGGGAATTCAGAGAAATCTCTGTATGTAGAAAAAGGCCAAAAAACACAACTGCATGTCTGTGAGCTTCAACCCCTCAGAGGGCACTGCATTACAAACCTGCATGCTTCTGTGAATAAACAATGTCCATTACTGCATCCAAAAATGCAAGTTAGGACTGTACTCTGCTCAGCAGAAATCACCTGAAATAGACTGATTCATAGAGTACATATGCAATGTGATCTGACAAGTCCATCTTTCAGATTGTTTATGGAAATAATGGAGGTCTAGGCCAAAGTGGAAAAGAACATGGGCTGGAATTTAAGGAACCAGCCCTGTGACCAGAAGGTCACCAGTTCAATCCCCTAAGCCGACAATACGTGACTGAAGTGCCCTTGAGCAAGGCACCTAACCCCCAACTGCTCCCCAGGTGCTGCGGATAGGCTTGCCCACCGCTCTGTGTGCTCACTGCCCCCTAGTGTGTGTGTTCAATAATGTGTATGTGGTGTTGCACGGATGGATTAAATGTGGAGGTGAAATTTCCCTGTTGTGGGACTAATAAGGGTCTCTTAATCTTAAACTAAACCATCCAGATTGTTACCATCTTAAAGTCCAAAAGCCAGGGTCTGTCATTGCATGTTATAAGTGGGTAACATCTGTGAAGGCACCATTAACACTGAACACATTTTGGAGCAACATATGCTGCCTTCTAAACACTGTCTTTTTCAGGGACGTCCATGCTTATTTCAACATGAAACCAAGACACATTCTATATGTTTTTTTTTTTAACATCAAGCTCATGAAACCCTGTACAGTTGCACAGCTTAAGACTTGCATAAAATTGGATCAGTTTATGTCTTCAGTCCCCAAACATTCAAGTGTTGAGAAAACGTGACATAACAATTAGTGCATTTACATGCACTTAATAATCTGGTAACTGCAGAAAATCAGATTTTATCAGTAATCCAATCAACATGTTTATATGTACTTGAGTAATCAGATAATGGAAAACTCCAGGTTTACATGAACCAGGCAGTAACCGGATTTTTGCTTGCAACGAGCCAATAAACTCACAGATGTGACGTAAATGTAACAAAATCAAATTTCATGGAGCAGCCATTTTTTACAAATT